CTAATTCTAGTCAGGAAAGAAAATAAGTTTTGTTTTTTTAGTTTACAATAGAGATTCGTTGTCACATATTAAAGTTGGTCGTTTCATTTTTGTTTTTGTGTTTTTTTTTTACTTATTTCCCATCTCAAAAAGGATGAAAAAATTGACTTTTTCTTAATTTCAGTTGAGAAGGAAAATAGAAATTTTTTTTTTGTTGTTTTCAATGAAGAGTCGTTGTCAAAGATAAGGGTTGCTTGTGTCACGGGTTGTTTGGTGGTTTTTCTCCTTAGAATGAGAAGTAAAATAGTTCCTTAGTTATATTGTGTTAAGAAATTAGGAATTTTTTTTTAATTTTTCAATGAAGAATAGTTGTCGAATTTTTCTAATTTCTGTTATTGGTTTATCTTGTTTTTTAAGCTAGTGTAACTCGCGCTTGATAAATTTTAATTGTATATTAAGTTACAAGAATAGGAGCAGTCGTCAAAGTTAACATTTGTCCACCTTAAATCCATGATACGATTTGTTTTTTTCCAAAGGCACAAACGTCGCGCTTTTATGTTATCTGACGGCGGGCGATAAAGCCATTCATTAGTTCTACCGTTTGAAAATGCTGTTCATTTTTACCCTAGGGTTAATATAGACTCCTTTTTCAGACGGGAGAATAAATGATTTCCTTTATACTTGGATTTTAGGTATCTAAAATCGCCATGTTTGTGCCTGAGAGATAAAGAAATTTTTTTTTATTTATTTATTTAATATTGTTGAAAATAAACTTAAAAAATGTTCTCTTGTATATAATTTAGGTGCCGAATTTGTTTAACGCTGACGAGAAAGCTGAGATTTGTGAAAAAATGCGTCAAGTGGATCGTCAAAGGGAAAGAACAATGCAAACTGATGGAAGTCCAGTGGCTCTTTTTAATTTATTTGTTCAATTGGCTCGTGAGCAATTACACATTGTGGTAGCGATGTCAGCAATTGGAGATGGTTTTCGAAATAGAATCAGAAAATTTCCTGCACTTGTCAATTGTTGTACCATCGATTGGTTGCAGGTTAGTATCCCAAAAGAAATATAAAAATTTCAATTAATCCATTTTTTCAATATCTTTATTATTTTTCAAATTAATGATCTATTATTTATTTTTCTTTACATTCACTATTTTATTTTATCCTTTTATTAATTTTCTTCTTCTTATTAACTATTTATTATTTTTGTTTATTTATTTTTCCTTTTATATTCACCTAGTTTTGTTAATTAATTTTTAAAATTTTATTTCATTTTTTATATTACTTTTTATATTCTGAACACTGTTTTATGAAATTTCTTGATTCTATTCTTTAATTTTTTTTCCCTTCTGTGCAAGTCCATGTAAGATTTCAGCTATTTCGGAGTGTGTAAACCAAATTTCAATAAAATTAAATAATTTTAATCTCTATATAAAAAGTAATAATTTCACTAAATATAAAATCCAAATATTCACTAGTTTTTGGGATTAAAAATTTAGCAAAAATTTTGAAATCGTCCTTTTTTTTCATTTGGACGGAATCACTTAATTTTTTTTTAATTCATCGTAAAAAACTAGTGAATATTTTGATTTCATATTTAGTTGACACATTTCGTTTTATATGTAGATTAATATTCCTGAGTTTCTTTGCAATTGTTTTATTACTCCGAAATAACTGAAATCTTAGTTAGACTTGCATTTTAATTTTATTTTCTAATTTGTTTTCAAATTAGGGTCAGTCGGGTTAAATCCGAACGGGGGGTAAATCCGAACGCTAATTATTTCAGCTTAATTAAAATTTTTAAAAATAAGTTCGATATGAGAATTTTTACCTCAGATCCTCTTGAAGAGATTCTAAGTATTATCCCATTTTTTGTTTGTTAATTAGCAACAGCATAAACAAAGATAACAAGTATTGCAAAAAAGATTGAAAATCAAAGATGACACTCTTTCAGTATTTTGTCTCGTATTTGAAGAAAAAGAAGCTAAAAATTCATTTTATTATTTATAATTGTTTGTTATGAATACTAGAACAGAAACTATATTTGATTTTTGCCTTCTGTAAAATTTTATTAATAATATCAGACCGTTCGTATTTACCCAAGAAAATTGGAAAACTGGGGTAAATCCGAACGGTATTTTTAATAATTTTTTTTTACATCAAAGCCACACAAAATTGTTTTTATTTGATTACACTATTATTTTAACATTATAAAAGTACATAGAAAAAAGTTTTTCTTTCTATACGTATCCTCGTTAGTAATTAATAAGCAGAAACTTAATCTCTGTTCTCTCGAAGGAGTGTTTCAATTTTTTTGCCAAATGGTTTGTTGAAAAAAGTTTTTCAGGATCTTAATAAAATTTGGTATTCTACGGTTTTTGGGGTCGCTAATTACCAATTTGAAGTCAGTTTTTCAAAATTCAAAATGGCGGACGAGAATTAAAAAATTCATTGGATTCGCTCGAAAATTGTTACTCGGGAGGTTTCAGGGTTAGCAAATTTGATCATTTTTAAAAAAAAGTTTTAGGAAAGTCCGCCATTTTGAATTTAAAAAATTTGACTTTTATTTTTGTATTTACATTCAATCACTCCAAAATACTTTCTGTACCAAGTTTTGCAAAAATCCGTTATGATTTGATAAAGTTATTGAAGGTTTTAATTGTGTAATGCATTTTAATTTTTAACCTGTTTGATTTTTGTATTTATATATGATGCATTATTACATAATAGGTTTATTATCGTATTTTTTTGAGTTTTTATATAAGTTTAACAATTGCAATACTTTAAATTTATTTTCCCTAAGATTTTTCTGAAATACAGTGGCGTTCGTATTTACCCCCATATTTTAGGAAAGTTGCAAAGTATCGAGGTAAATACGAACGCTAAGTTTCCTGCGATTGTAATTTATCAAAAAATTTTTCTACCCCATAAAATTGTTCTATGGAAGTAAAGTAACAACTTCATGCACCAGAATACCGGAAGTATTTTTTTTTTAAAGAAAAAACTTATGTTATTGTTGAAACTTACTAAAAGCGTTCGGATTTACCCCAGTTGACCCTACTATTTTTTTCTTTTTTTCTAAAGATTTCCTAAATATTTATTTGAAATGTTCGGAATATTTAATTGCAATGTTTAGTGAAAATTGTGTAAAGATTTAAATGTCCCGATTAAATAAATGTTTAGTGTAAAACTTTGTAAAACTTTCCTGAACATTTAAATAAAATTTTCTCCTAATTATAATTATTATTATAATTAGGAAGGAAAGTTTCGGTGCTGTGGGGGCACGGACTTGTTATTTGTTTATTTTTTTAAATTTGTAATTAGCCGTGGCCTGAAGATGCTCTATTGGCTGTTGCAACACGATTTCTTGGGGAAGTAGAATTAACAGAGCACGAGAGAAAAGCTGGAATAGATATGTGTCAATTTTTCCACATTTCCACTCAAAATTTAAGTCGAGAATTTTTCATACGTCTTGGACGACAAACTTACGTTACACCAACTTCTTATTTGGAAATGATAAACACCTTTAAAGATTTGCTGAATAAGAAGAGAAGGTGAATTTATTTTTTATATTTTACAAATAATTGATATGATTTATTTTATTCAATTTTTATTTAACTCCTTAACTGCGATGACGAAGATTTGACGATCAAAATCTTCGTCATCAGCAATTAAGGGGTTAAACACATGGACAAAAAATATAGTAATATTTAAAATACTTACTATATATTTAATATTTACTAAACTAATGAAATTAAAATATTACATTACTAGATAAGACAAAACATTTTAACAAAATAAGTATTGTAAACTGTAAAGTAAATAAAAAATTTTTTTCTTTAATTCAGCGAAATTCTCTTGGCCAAAGCGAGATACGAAGGTGGTCTTGGAAGATTAGACACAACACGACAAGAAGTTCACGAAATGCAGGAAACATTGAAACGACTTCAACCTCTTTTAGTTACAGCTGCGCAGGATGTTCAAAAGATTTTAGCCTCCGTTGAGAAAGAAAGTTCTGAAGTTGCAGAAATAGAAAAAATTGTTAAAATCGACGAAGAAGCAGCTATGGTATTGAAATTTACTAATTATAATAATTATTTGCTTTTTATTAACTAGTTTTCCATTAAATATTTCAAATAAAATGTTTTTCATTTAAATTACAAAAATTCGTAAAGTTGCATAAATTTAAAAAGAATTTTATTTATTTTCACATTTACGTTAAGCTTTTTGCGTTTCCAGTTTAAAAATGCATTTATTTAGTCAAAAAAAAAGCTTTTAACTTAATTAAAAATTGCTATAAAATTTAAAAACAAAATTTAATTCGAAATAAAAAAATAAAATTCTTTGTCTATAAAAGAAAATTTTAATACAAAATGCAAAAAAGAAGAGAAATATTAAATTTTGATATTATTATTGTGAGTAGGAAGTTGCTGGAAAAGCTGCAGAAATAAAAGCTGAATGTGATGCAAATTTATCGGAAGCATTGCCAATTTTGTTGAAAGCACAAACCGCACTCAACACTCTAACTGTAACTGATATTGCTGTAGTCAAGGCAATGAAAAGTCCTCCAGCTGGAGTGAAATTAGTCATGGAAAGTGTCTGTATTCTTAAGGTAATAATCAATTTATTTTCCCAAAAAAAAATATTCTAATTATATTAATGTATAATAAATTTTTTTAATTTATTATCAATTTTGCTCTAAATTGGATTTATTAGATTTTCAATTTTACTGAATTTCATTACCTGGAATTTACTATTAATTATTTATAAAAAAAACTATAGGAAATGAAGCCGGAAAGAGTACAACAGCCGGACGGAAGAATGGGTGATGATTATTGGAAGGTGTCATTAAAAGTATTAAGTGATGTGAAATTTTTGGATTCATTAATAAATTTTGACAAGGACAATATTCCAGAGAATGTGATGGATAAAATTCGCAAGCACTATTTGACGAATATCAATTTTGATTCAGATAAAATAAAAACAGCGTCAACAGCTTGCGAAGGTCTGTGCAAATGGGTTTATGCAATTTCTGAATACGATAAAGTTGCAAAAGTTGTTGCACCAAAGAAAAAAGCATTGGCCGAAGCTGAAGCGGTTTATAATGATGCTATTGAAAAATTGAATATTAAGAGAAAGCAGCTACAATTAATTCAGGTAATATAATTAATAATAATAATAATAATAATAATAATACTTTAATCTTCCATTGCGAAATTAAATTAAAATTATTATTATTATAACAATATAACTAACAATAATAATATTAATAATAATTTGTTTATTTATATATACGTAAATATTTTTCAAAATAATTAATTATTTTTTAATTGGCTGATAAAAAAATTTTTAACTTTAAAATTTTTCCAGCGAAAATCTTTAAAAAGTAAAAATTGTGCTAAATAATATTGTAAAATATTTTTTTCAAAAAAATTTATTATTTTTTAATTGGCTGATAAAAAAATTTTTAATTTTAAAATTTTTCCAGAGAGAATCTTTAAAAAGTAAAAATTGTGCTAAATAATATTGTAAAATAATATTTTTTTCAAAAATTTAGCACAACTTAAGTTTTATTAAGAGAATATTTTCATTTTTCAATACTTAGTTGCTAGTAAATTTTTATTTTTAAAAAGAACATTTTGTGTTATAATAAATTAATTTTTATTTTAATTTTACGGAACTTTAAAACACAGTCTAATCAATATAATGATTATTTTTTTAATACTTATTTGAATTTATTTGTTTTTTTATGATTTAAATATTAAAAAACCTTGTAATTTTTTTATAACCTATAAAAAGCCGTAAAAAATTAGTTTTATTAGAGTATGTGTTTTCCCGAAACACGGACACTTTTTACAAAATCGGCCAAAATACCAAAGAGTTTTATTTTATAAATCTACTAAATTCAAAAGATTGTGCGAATCCATACAAAATCGCAATTGCAAAGTGAAAAGTAGGAAAGTAATATAATGAGAGGTTCATTACGTCCTGCCTCCGTCAGATGGCAGAAGAGAGCAGGGAGGACAAAGTCGCAGTTGTTATTATATTACATTCCTACTTTTCGTCTTACAATCGCGTTTTTGTATGGATTTGCACAATCTTTTGTATTTAGTAAATTTATAAAATAAAACTCCTTAATATTTTGACCGATTTTGTAAAAAATTTCCGTGTATCGAGAAAAAAGTATTTTAAAATCAATGTTTATCATTTTCACGTTCAATGTCGTTTTTTTTATCTTTTCAGTATTTATGTTTTTTTCATTGATAACTTATTTAAAGGCTTTTTTCATCAAATTCTAAAGAATTAATTCTATGAATTTTTAGAAATTTCAATTTTTTCAAAAAATTAAATTTCTAAACAAGGCACAAAAAAAATGGTGAAAAATCATTTTTCTTCAATTTTTCATTATGAAAAAAATATGGTTTTAGATTTTATAGAAGTAAATAATTTTTTAATACCTCTTTTGTAATTTTGAACAAATTAATTGTATGGGTTTGAAAAATTTTTTTACTTGTCTATCGCTTCTTAAGGACATGTAGAAAATTATCGCCTGATCTAGTATGGGAAAATGTGTTTTGTAAAAAATGAAAACTAAACTTTCTTTAAAATGTGAAAAGATTTTGGGTTAACATTTTTTAGTGTATAATAGAGAAGGGTACAATGTACCTTACTTTTCTGAAAAAATATAAATTTGAGTGAAATTTAAAAAAAAAATATGTTTAAAATGCATATTTTGAAACTAGAAAATTTTTAGTTAGAAAAATTTAAAAAAATTTCACTTTTCACTAATAGGAAAAACTTGGAGCATTAGAGGAAAAGTTATTAGCAAAAAAAGCCGATTATCAAGCAATGACGGATAAAGTTAGTGATTGTGAGCTGAAATTAAAACGAGCTGAGGAATTAATTGGCGGTTTAGGTGGAGAATACATTAGATGGTCTGATTCTGCTAAAGCATTAGGAGAAAGGTATATTTTTATTTAATTTCCTTTAATTATTATTACAAAATAATTTTTAATTTTAAATTTATTTTTAAATTAATTTATACAAGAATAAAAAAAAAAATTTTAATTATGTAGATAATATATTTTGAAATTAATAAACATTTCCGATTTTTAATAACGCTTTTGAATTTATTACATTTCAAAAAGCAAAAAAAAAAACTAAATAAATTTAGTTCCTTTTATTTTAATTTTTTTGAATTATTTTTAAAAAACATTATAAATTCTTCTTTTTCTATAGTTTTTACAAGATGAGAAATTAAAAATTTTCAGCAAATTGTCTTATTTTTAACTAATGAAAATTGTTAATTTTTTTTAATTTATAAATTTATTTTTGTTTTTAATAATTCACTTAATTTCACTGTTAGAAATTTTCAAAAAAAAACCTGAAAATTTTTTTCAGATATCATCGTCTAACGGGAGATGTGATTATTGCCTCGGGTATTGTCGCCTATTTGGGACCATTTACAATGCCCTTTAGAATTCAACAAATTGAAAATTGGATTCATCTATGTAACAGTTTAAGCGTTATTTGTTCTCGAGATTTTCAGTTACGTGACATATTAGGCGATCAAGTTTCGATTAGATCTTGGAACATAGCCGGCTTACCGTCAGATTCATTTTCCATTGACAACGGCATCATTGTCAAGTAATTAAATCGACATCTCCTCGTACACAGCACAAGCTATTGATAAACAGAAAAAAAAACTAAAAATATTGATAACAGAAATCGAAAAATAATTATTTCGAAAGAAAATGATAAAAATACTAATTTCTATATTATTAATAATAAATAATTAAAATTTGTAATTTAATTAAAATTTCAGAAATTCAAGACGATGGCCACTTATGATTGATCCTCAGAGCCAGGCTAATAAATGGATTAAAAATATGGAGAAGCAAAATAATATGAGTATCATTCGATTGTCACAGGTCGATTATCCTCGAATTCTCGAAAATGCCATTCAATTTGGTCAACCAATTTTATTGGAAAATGTTGGCGATGAATTGGATGCAATGTTAGAGCCAGTATTGTTGAAATTGACTTTCAAACAAGGTGGAGCCCTGTGCATTAAACTTGGAGAATCTATTGTCGAGTACAATACTGATTTTAGGTAATCTATAGTATTTGCTTTTTAAAATTATTCAAAATAAAAATAAATTGAAACTATTGTAAAAATATTTCATCAAATTTTCATAAAAATTTATTAATTTTTTTTAAATTTCAATTTCACTGTATAGTAATAAATGTTTATTATTTAGAGATAATAAAATACTAATTAAATAATAAATAATCATATTTTTAATTCGACTAATTAATAAATTTAAAAATATCTAAATTTTTTTTATTTAAAAAAAATTTTTTTTTTTTAAACTTTTAGACTATATATTACGACAAAAATGGGCAATCCGCATTACCTGCCTGAAATTGCGGTTAAGGTGACACTCATAAATTTTGTGATAACTCCAGATGGATTAGAGGATCAACTACTCGGAATCGTTGTAGCTAAAGAAAGACCTGACCTAGAATCAGAAAAAAATACCCTTATCATTCAAGGCGCTGCAAACAAAAAGTATTTTATTTTTTAAATATTTAATTTAATATAAAAGAAATACTTAAATAAATAATAAAAAAAAGCGATCAAAAATCTATTGAATAAATTAAATTTTAAGTCAAAAATCACTTTTTATAGAAATTTATTTAATTATTTTACAATAATATCAAAGGGGAAAAATTTTTAAAAAATTGAAAATAGAAATAATTATAAATCGATAATTTTTCATTGAAAAATATATTATTTCATATTCTGATAATAATAATAATAATAATATTCATGTAAAATTTTATTCAAAAAAATGATCAGAATCTAATGAGAGATAAATTTCATTTCAGACTTTTAAAAGAAACCGAGGATAAAATATTGGAAGTTCTGTCAGTGGCAGAGGGAAATATTCTCGAAGACGAGGAAGCAATTAATGTTTTGACTTCCTCGAAAGTATTGAGCAACGAAATCCAAGTCAAACAAGCGACGTCTGAAGTAACTGAGAAGTCGATCGATGCCACTAGATTGCAGTATAAACCAATAGCAGTGCACTCAACTGTTCTCTTTTTTACCACCGGTAATATTTGCATAATTAATAAAAAAAAAATTTTTATTTAAAAATTCGAAAAAAAACCAACTAGATTATATTTATATGAAAAAATGGAGACACATCAAAATTCCCCACATTATTTTTACATCGAAATTTTTGTGGTAACAAATTAAAAATTATCGAATTTTTATTTAGCGGAATTTTGTAAAGTAGATTTTATAATGAGACGAATTTTCATATCGAAGAATTTCTATTAAACTAAATTTTGATTTAATTGAATTTCTATTTATCTGAACTTTTGCCTAGCAGTTTTTTTAATATACATATAGAATTCTGCTAAATAAAAATTTGATAATTTTCAATTCGATATCTCAAAAAAATTCCAACAAGTTTAATGTGAGGAATCAATTAAATTTTTTCAGAAGAAACTTTTCTTTTTCCTAACATTTTGTTTTTGAAACTTTTTTATGATTCGAAATGTAAAAGGTATTTAAAAACTCAATTTTTGAGTTTATGACATGTTTTTTTTAATTAATGAAATTTTAAGAGAAATACTTATAGAAACACTCAAATTTTGTGTAAGGTAAAAGAAAGATAAACATGAGATGAAAAAAAAACATTTAAAATCGATATAAGAAACAATTTTCTAATTATTGAAATTTAGATAATTATTTATATTTTTTATATTATAGAAATTATATTTATTTTCTTGGTTTATTTTTATATTTTTTAATTTTATATAAATATTATTAATTTAAATTTAAATTACAAATTTTATTTATAAATTTAATGAAATAAAAAAAATATAATTATGTTTTCAGCAATTTTATCAAATATAGATCCAATGTATCAGTATTCATTGATGTGGTTTGTGAATCTTTTTAAAATGTCAATTGACAATACAGAGCCACAGGAGAATGTCGAAATACGTTTAAATGATTTAACCAAGCACTTTACTTATTCTCTCTACGTAAATATCTGCAGGTCGTTATTTGAGAAAGACAAACTACTTTTTTCACTTTTACTCGCTGTGAATCTTTTAAACAATCAAGGGGGAATTTTAAAATCTCAGTGGATGTTCCTATTGACCGGAGGCGTTGCTCTTGAAAATCCTCACGAGAATCCAACAGACTGGCTTCCTGTTAAAATGTGGAATGAACTTTGCCGTCTCAATCAAGTCGAAGGATTTCAAGTTAGTTTCTTTTATGTACATATTTAATAGAAAGTTAAATCTCGCTCATTTATATAAATTAATGCGATTTTTAACTAAAGAAAAATAATTTAAAAAAAAAAGAATCTCTAAATATAAATTGAATATTAAGTTAAAACAAATAGAATCAAATAAAATAATTAAAATTTTGCTGACAAAATTTCATCGTATAATTAAAATTAATTCAAGGGAAATTTAAGAGAAATTATGAATATAGTTCTTATGCTTTGAATTATTTTGAGAAATGAACAATTTTTAAGAAGTCTAAAATAAAGAATAAAGAAATGAAACTGTAAAAAAAAAAAATTTATCGTTAATCGAAATTATTTTATGGACGCAGAATATTCGTGAGGAATTTACAAAAAATATAAATGACTGGAGGGCATTTTTTGACGCAAAAGAACCTCAATTGTCAATAATTCCAAAACCTTTTCATAATCTAACGAAATTTCAAAAACTTTTAATTCTGAGATGCATTCGTCCTGATAAAGTTATTCCTGGTATTCAAGACTTTGTTGAAGGTTTGTTAAATTTTTTCCCCACAAAATTTTCTTTATAATTTCAATTTTTCTCATTCAATATCACAATAATATTCAACTAAAGAAGTTTCAATTCTTTTGGGTTTTTTTTTCTGTGTAAAATATAAATTATAATTTATAAGTTTAGGGAGAGACACCACCTTTATTTTATAATTAAAAAAAAAAAATTGTTGTTATTTAATTTATATGTATACTTAAAATTTTCTGAAATTTTTTTTTGTTATTACAGAAAATGTAAATTTAGTAAAGAACTTGTTAGTGAAATAAATAAAATAAAATGTGAGATAAAAAAATGTTTTCAGTGAAATAAATTTTTTTTTTTTCCTCAGCTCAAATGGGAACAAAATTTGTGGATCCACCTCCATTTGACTTGACAGCTTCTTATGCCGATTCCAACTGTTGCATTCCATTGATATTTGTTCTAACTCCTGGAGCGGATCCAGCACAAGTGCTTCTTAAATTCGCTGACGATCAGGGTTTCGGTGCAAATAGATTATTCTCTCTCTCCTTAGGACAAGGTAACATTTTTCACTTTTTTCTTATCCAAACAAACATTTAGTAAACTTTACTAAATGTTTAAAAAAAAATTACTTTTTTAAACTAATTTTTTTTCGAACATTATTTACCTATTTATTTATAACATTTTTTTAAAAATTTTTTGTAAAACACAGTTAATTTAATACATTTTTTTTGTATTTTAGAAAAAATTGAACACAAAATAATATGTCTAATTAATTTTTTTTAAAAAAGGATTTTTCAAGTTAAAATTGAAAATTAATTTTGGGGAAAAATGAAAAAAAATTTTTTTTTTTTTAGGACAAGGTCCAATTGCAGTACAATTAATAAATGACGGTGTGAAATATGGACATTGGGTGGTATTGCAAAATTGTCATCTTGCAAAAAGTTGGATGGGAACATTGGAGAAAATTTGCGAAGGTCTATTACCCGATACAATTCATTCTGATTTTCGTCTTTGGTTAACGAGTTATCCAGCGGAACATTTTCCCGTGTCAATATTACAAAATGGAATAAAAATGACAAATGAACCGCCAAAAGGCTTGAGAGCCAATATTATTAGATCATATTTAAGTGATCCAATAAGTGATATAGAATTTTTTGAATCATGTAATCAGAGTGAGACATTTAAAAAACTTCTCTATTCGTTGTGCTTTTTTCATGCCATTGTTCAAGAACGAAGAAAATTTGGTCCCATTGGATGGAATAAACCATATGAATTTAATGAAACTGATTTACGCGTTAGTGTACTACAATTGCATATTTTTCTTGATCAATATAATGATGTTCAATTTGAGGCATTGAAATATTTGACCGGTGAATGTAATTACGGTGGTCGTGTCACTGACGAATGGGATCGAAGAACTCTTGTCACTATTTTGGAAAAGTTCTACAATGAGTAAGTACATAAATGGAGTTTTTTTTTTATTTATATTAAATTATTTATTTATTAAATTTATCTAAAATCAATTTTTTACAATTTTCATTTGACAGAATTTCATTATCTATAGAATTTAATTTTAGATGATTTTTCCTTTCTTCGAATTATTATTTAACAGAAATTCCATGTGAACGAATTTTTATATTACAGAATTTTTATTTAAGGTCATGTGATTCCACATGTAAATATTCTCCTCAGGTTCTCTCATAAAAATTATTCTCGGATTAATCTAAAATTTTGTGGAGAACTCAAAATTTGTATAAGGATTTTCATTAGACAGAATTATTATTAAAAATCCCAAAAATAACGAATTTTTATTTTAAAAAATTTCTGTTTGTCCAAATGAATAGCTCAAAGAAATTTGGCCAACTAATTTTTAAATTAACCAATTGGCACAAATCAACAAAATTATTATTAGTTAATTTTTAAATTTGTGCATAAATTTGTCTGTCAAATGCTTATTCGAACAAATGAAAGTTTTGTAAAATAAAAATTCGGCGTTTTTTAAAAATTCTGTCAAATACAAATTCTATTATTCTTTGTGTAAAATAAAAATTCTTTTAAATAACTATTCTGTTTAATAAAAAATTAGAGCAAATAAAAAAAAATTCAAAAAATTTAATAAAATTTCTGTCAAATAATAATTTGAAGAAAAGAAAATTTGGCTAAAAGTCATTTTTCTTTCTTATAAAATGTAAAAAAAAAATATTTTTGACTATTTTTATTTTATTTTTTCTTTCTAATTATTTATTTCGTACGAAAATTTTATTTAGAACAATCATTATATAACTGAAATTCCTTTATATATATATATAGAAAAAGAAAATTCCGTTATATTAAAACTTGTCATAAAAAAAATTGCTTGATTATAATAATTTTAATAAATATTTCGAATAAAAGAATTTTTATCAAAATTTTTTTACGAATTTTCAGAGAACTTTTGGAGGAAAAAATGTATAATTTTGATGAAACATCCGATATTTACTATTGTCCAAATGCAAAAGAATACGAGGTTTATTTAGAGTATAGTAAAAAGCTTCCGCTCATCACGTCACCAAGTGTATTTGGAATGAATGAAAATGCTGACATCATCAAGGATCAAAATGAAACGGAACTTTTATTCTCCTCTCTTTTACTCACTCAAGTATGTTTTTTTTACTTTTCGTAAAATTCTTATATTAAAAATTAGTTAATTGCTAATAATAATAATAATAACTACAAAATTTTTAATATCATGCCTTCAGGATCGAAAGGTAAAAAAATATTAATTAATTAATTATTAAAATATTACATTTATTATTTAAAAATAATGTTATGTTTATGAAATGCTTTTTTTTTGTTATCTACTATCAGGATATTTGGGACCTTAAGGTAAGAAAATTAGTGTCAATTTTAATAAATTAATATTAGTGTCATTAATGTTTTCTGTTTTTAGTTAAAAATCTAGATATGATATTTGAATTTTTATTGTTAGGAAACATCAACTGGAACTGGAGAACTATCAAGCGATGATATTGTTTCTGGAGTAGCTACGGATATACTCAGTAAACTTCCGAGTGATTACAATTTAATCGATGCACTTGAAAAGTATCCAACTTCTTACAATCAAAGTATGAATACTGTGTTGGTTCAAGAAATGGGAAGATTCAACAAACTCTTGCAATGCATCAGGATTAGTCTCATAAATTTAAAAAGAGCTATTCGAGGTTGTCAAACGTTTTATTTTTTTATTAATATTATTTATTTTGGAGAATTTAAGAAATTTTTGAAAATTAATTTTTGAAACAAATATAATATAATAATTTTTATTTTGAAAATAAGTTTAAAAATTATAAATTAAGGACAAATTTTTGAAAAAATTAAAAAACTATTTTACACTATTTTAAATATTTTAATCATTAACAATAAAAATCATATATTTTTTAAATTGCATTGTTTTCTAATCAATTTTAAACCAATTTCACGATTTTCGGATCAAAATCGCGATTTTCGAATTTCATTTTTTTTTAAATTGTGTAATAAAAATAATTAAATTAAAATTTATTAATTTTTTGTATTAAAATTAAAGTAATTATTAATATGAAACTGAAACCTACTTATCAGTACCAAAGTTAATTTTCGAAAAAAATTTAATGATCTAATTAATTACTTAGACTAATTATTTATTTATTTGCCTATTTGTGTGGTTCGTTCAGGTCTTATTGTTATGTCATTCGAACTCGAAGAAGTATTTGGATCTATATTGACTGGAAAAATTCCAACTCTCTGGAAGCAGAATTCTTATCCATCTTTAAAACCCCTAGGAAGTTATATAATCGATTTTCTCGAACGTCTCAAATTTCTTCAGGTTCGTTATTTATTTTTTTTTCATTTCTTCCTTTTTACAGGCCTTGGATTGTATGACTTTTTCTGACTTTTTTTTGACTTATTTTACAAAATGAATTTATTTAAAAACAAAATACCTATGACTTTCTTTTTGTACAAAGAGTAGTTCTTCAAAAATTCAATTATTTTGAAAATTTGAATGTAAAAAGTCTTAGCGAAATGAATTATTTTCAAATAATTTAAAAAACAATTCTTTGAAAATTGAATTATTTAAAACATTTTTTAATTTGGAAATATTATTTATTTATTTAAATAAAAATTCTTGATAAATTTCTATGCAATTATTTTTATTAAGGAATTATTAAAATTTATTTTTATAATATCTAATAACAATTATTAATAGAAATAAAATATTTATTAAATTATAAATTTACATATTAACATTTAAAAAATCGATTTTTACTTCTAATTTAAATCGAATAAAACGATTTTTTGGGACTTAAAATCGATTCGAGACCTGATTTTATTACAGTTCAATTTCCAAAACTGTATCAAATTTTTTTTTTATATTTTTTACAGTTATGGTATGAAAATGGACCACCCGTAACATTTTGGCTATCGGGATTTTTTTTCACTCAAGCTTTTTTAACTGGCGCACGACAAAATTTTGCTCGAAAATATGGAATTCCTATTGACCTTTTGATATATGATTTTAAAATAATGAAAGAGAAAAAATTTGATATTTCACCAGAGGATGGAGTTTATGTTTATGGTTTATTTTTGGATGGCGCAAGATTCAATATGGAAAAAATGATTGTCGACGAAAGTCTACCAAAAGTTTTGTACAATACAGTACCATATGTAAGTTATGTATTAATTATTGTTTTTTAACAAATCGATGAAACTAAAATTTGTTTATTAAAAATGAGCAGTTTTTTAACTTTTTTTTTAATTAATTAAAAATTAGTAATTTTAATTTTTTTTAATGTAAAGTAAAAATTAACAAATATTTTAATTTGCTATAATTATATTTTATTTTTTTCTAGCTTTGGCTTATTCCTATGAAAAAAGATGAAATTAAAGAGAGAAAAACATACAATTGTCCAGTTTATAAAACTGGTGAAAGGAAAGGTGTTCTTTCTACAACGGGTCATTCTACTAATTTTGTTATTGCAATGAAACTTCCAACGGAAAAACCAGCAGAGCATTGGATTATAAGGGGCGTTGCTATGCTTTGTCAATTGACACAGTAAAAAAATGCATATTGTTTTGAAATCATATTTTCATTTAAAATTCACGAATGTAAGTAAATAACTTTTAATAAAATAAAATTTCGAATAAAAATTTATTTTAATAATTAGAACGCATTATTACGTTCTATATTATAATTACAATATTATACTTCTAATGTGATCAATATATTTCAAAATATATAAGAACAAAAAAAAAATTTTTTGTTTGTTAAATTTATTAACAATTGAAATTGAAAAAAAATTTGTTTTTTAATTTTTAGTGTCAAAATAAATGAAAAAAAACACTTGACACACTTTCGTCATTGATTTTCAAATGGTTTATTTTTTTATTGATACATCTATACATATTATTTTCCCCATAAAATTTTTTTTCAAAAATATTTATTTTTGAAGTAATTGATGATTTTTTTTTTGATAATGAATGTCTAAATCTTATTAACAATGTTTTTAAACAATTACGATTTAAAATAATATGTTCTCAATGTCACTGAAAAATCAGATTATTTTCTTTTGGTACGCAAAAGTTTAAGGATTAGATTAAAAAAAAAAAAAAAGAAAAATGAATAACCATTAAAATAACAGTTTTTTTCATTTATTTTGATTCTTCAGTAATTAAAAAAAAATTTTTTTCTAATTCCATTTTTGACTAATTTAAAAATAAAAAACAGGATTTTATTTGTCTTGAAATTTATTGTTCAAAAATAAATGAGCGTTCAAATGAACGAAATATTTTTTTCAATCTATAAATTATTAAAAATTATTATGTCAATTTAAAAATTAAACAATAATTTAATTAAATAACTTCTTTTTAGATATTTAAAACAATATTTTGTAATAAAATTCGTACTTAAAGAAGTTGCAAAAAAAATTTCGTTTAATGGGAAAATCACATCGACTTTGACCTGCCCTTAATGTTCATTTTAAGATTTTTGAAGAATTTTTCAATAATTATAAAACAAATTACTATAATTATTAAAAAAAAATTTCAAAGTTCTTAAAATGAATTTTAAAATTCTATCAAATACTAAAAAATAAATCAATTACAATTATTTTTCGATTATTCGATTATTTTTTAAAAACAGTATTAAAATATTTTTAACACTTTTTTGTTCCGCGTAAATGTCAATTGTTTGATTGAAATTGATTAAAAGAGCAGTTAATATATTTTTTTTATTATTAAAAATTAAATAGTTTTGATATTTTTAAAAAATGCTTTATTTCAAAATAAAATTTGAAAATATATTTTCAAATTTGAAATTGAGCGACATCCGTCGTTGGGAATATAAACTACTTATCCAAAAAGTGTGGTAAAATGAAGAAATGTGGCAACAGCGCAAAATCAAGAGTTCCATTTAAAGATGGCCGACACTCTACTGCTAGATTACTGTGTGTCACGTCAACTATTAAATTCCTTTTCGGGAATTTAGTTTTTAAAATAACGTGTGTTTGTCATAACGACAGCTAAATTAATATCTAGTATTATATAAATTTATTCGTGAAAATGATCTAAGTCAATCGAACAATTATGAATTGTCATCAAATATTAAGCGGAGCTTGCAATGCAGGTGATCGTTGCTTTGCTGTCGGCTCTGTTGAAGGAATATCATTTACCGTGAGTTGTTTTCTTTTTCATTATATTTAATTCTTTTATTAATTATTATTATTAATCGTTTCGTAAAAAAAAAAATTTATTTATTTTTCATCATTGTTTATAATTTTTATTTTACTCACAATTGTCACACGCAAAGTAAAGAAAAAAAAAAAAAATTCAGGCGATTAAAAGTATATGTGTGTGATTATAAAGAAAAGTCAATACGTATTTAACAGATCTTACATTGAAAGTCAGCTGATTTAATGACACTTGTCTCTTCTATTTAGAAAATGTATTTCATTTCACCCAAGGGAACATAAATTATCCTGACTAATGATTGTTATACAATATTCTTTTGTTTTACAAATTTATCATTTGTATTTTCTGTTGAAGGTTTAAAAAAAAAAATAAATAAATAACTTTTTTTAATGAAATAATTTCAATTTAGAATTAAATTAAAAATATTACTTTAATTTAATTGCTTTTACTTTTATTTTCTATTATAATAAAATAAGAATATACATTTAATTGAATCATTTGAAAAATTATTGATTTTTTTTTATTTTTAGGTTATATTTTGATATGTGGTGTAAATATTTTATTTTTGTTATTATTTTTTGGGAGAAATAAATAAATTGTAATTATATATTAATTATTTGAAAAAGATGAGTTTAAATAAATAATTTAATATTTGACACAGATATAATGGCTTTTTAATTGATTTTTACTGTTAATTTAATTACTTTAAAAATCAAATATTTTAAAATGAATAAATTAAGTTTTTTTTTATGTACTTTTAATTGAAATTTTAATAGAATGTTATAATTAAAATAATGGTAGAAATAAAATGAGTAGTTCATGTAAAAATTGTGAATAAATATTGATATTATGTGACTGAAATGCAGATAAAATGATAAGTGTAAAATATCTCTGCTTATATCAAAAGTTGCGTTTCAATTTTGAAACTTATATGAAAAGATGAAAAATATTATAAAATATGTTTTTTTTTCTTTTTTAAAAATTTTAGGCTTACGCTGCTGGATGTAACATTGTGATTCTCGCTAGTAATTTTGAGCGTGTTCAAATTATTCCTGGTGCTGTGCATAATTACATACGAATAAGTTGTTTGGATTGTAGCACCGATACAGGAAAAATTGCAGCTGCTTACGAAAATCAAGTTTGCATTTTTGAGCCAACACCGTTAATTCACAGCACTTGCTCTCACGTTAGTAATGTTTTAATTACAAAATATTTTTTAATTTCGTTACTTTTTTTTTTAATTTAAAAAATGACTATTTAATAATATCTTGAATACAAATTTTGATTTATTGTTTTGTTAAAACAGTATTTTTAATTGTTCAGATTTTTTTACAGACTCACATTAAAAAAAAAAAAAAAAAAAAAAAAAAAAAATCCTATTAATTTAACAAAAATAGGCCTCGGATTGTAAGACTTATTCGACTTTTTCTAACTTTTTTTCAATAATGTGATTTTTTCTACAAAAGTTTTAATTAAAATACGATTCTCTTTTAGTATACAATGCAGCTTTTGCAAAATTTAATTATTTGATAAATTTTTAACTAAAATTCTTCAAAAATTCAATTATCTGAAAATATATTTCAATTAAATGTTTTTAAAAATTGAATAATTGATCTAAATTTCAAAAAAAAAAAAATAACAATTTGAGCAATTAAAATTTTTAATTTGAAATCTTTTGAAATTCAATTACCTACTTTAAAAAATTTCAATTTAAAATCTTCTAAAATTTAATTACTTCTAAAATTTTCAATATAAAACTATGAACTTTAATTATTTCTAAAACTTTCAATTATAGCTCTTCCAAAATTCAATTACTTAAAAAGAAAATTGTTAAATTATTTTCAATTCTGCAAAATTTTTACAAAATTTTTTGAAATTCAATTATTTCTAAAAATTTTAACTGTAACTCATAGAAAATTCAATTATTATTTTTAATAATTTTAATATTTCTTTAAAAATTCAATTACTTAATAAAGTTTCAACTTAATTAATTTCCAAAATTTTTTTTTTAACCATTAAAACTAAAAACTATGTAAAAATTTTAAATTCAAATTATTTGCATAAATCAGACTTTAAAAAAAAAATTTTAATAAAACTTTAAAATTTTTTTTAGAAATTTATCCTGCTTAATTAAAATTTTGAAAATTTGTCCTACTTTGATTTTGAAATATTCGAAATAAATTTTTTTGTTAATATTCTGGTAGAATTATTCTTATTAAGGAATGAAAAAATAAATTAATAAATAATATACAATAACATTAGATATTTAAAGTAAAATATTTATTAACTAATTAAATTAAAAAATCGATTTTTTCGACTTTTTTTGCAATGTATATCGACTAAAACGACTTTTTTGCGCCTTAAAGTCGATCTGAGGCCTGAATAAATAATCCATTGTTTACTATAATTAAAGGATTGCATTAATTAATTAGTTGGAGTTATTTAAATTTAAAAGATATATATTAATGTGTTTTTTGTTCAGAAAATAAAAAGTAGTTTTCTAATTTTTGCAATAGAAATTTATATCTTTCTATCTTTAATTGAAGATTAATTTAATAAATTAATTAATAATTAATTAATCTATTTTATTGTAAATAAATAATCAGGATGTTCAGCGGTCAGGGAATTTAATTAAAAGTTAGGGAATTTTTTTTAAATTTGCCAAAAATGTACATTTTTATGAATTTTTAAAAAAATTTTCGATGCCATACAAAGTTTATAATGCTAATAAATAAAATGTTTTTTATTATCTTAAAAATACTTTAATATTTAATCCTGTTCATTTTTTAAATATAAAATATATTTATTAAAAAAAAGTTGGAAGAACCTTAGGAAAAAGTCAGGGAATTTTTTTTTGGACTTCTTGCTGGACACCTTGAATAATAAAAAGATTTTATTTTCAACAAAAATAACATAATTATGAATTGAACGTCAGGAAATTTATATTATTTTTTTCAAATTCAAAACATAATCGATATTTTTTAAAAAAAATTTGAATTATATCTGAATTATTTTCTATATTAAATTACTTTGTAAATTCAATTATTTTTATTGATCGTTTAAAAAAATAAAATAAAAACTTCAGTACCGCGATTTTGATATCGTAAAGCACAAAATTGGTTAAATTTTTATTTGTAACTAAAAAATGTTCGGAATATATTTTTTAAAATAAATTTTTTCTATATGTAGAAAATTCAAAAATTTTAATAGAATTGAATTTTTTCAATACCGTCAAGCGGGGAAATTATGTAACAAAAAATGCGATATTTTCAATTTTTTCTTCATTAAATATCTAAATTGTTAATAAAAATATTTTTTTAAATATTCATATAGATATTGTGAACATCCTTTTGAAGATTTCCTCCAATTTTCATTAACAGAAAAAAATGTTTGCCTCGCATTTATAGAATAACTATTGAGAATTTAAAAAAAAATTGTTATTTTAATTGTAAAAGCAAGTAAAACATATTTTCTTTTTCTGTATATTAAGAAAACTTTTTACTTAATACTTTAGAGTAAAGTAATAAAAGAAAAAAAATTATTATTTAATACCTTTTATTGAATTCGAAGAAATTCATGCGGATTTTCGCACTTTTTTGAAGTTTTATCATTTTTTTCTTATTGCCAATTACAATAAAAATAAAAATATTTGTCTTACTTTGTAGGCAAAATATTAAACTGTTATTTAAAACAAGAATCAAATTGAAACAATTTACTATGAATATTTTACATAAAAACGAATTGTGCGTTCGATATTTATTTCTGATGATCTATAAATTAAATAATGAACAATATTTAAACGACAGTAATTAAATTAAAAATAAAAAAAAATTAAATGCTAAAAAAATTCAAAGAAATTAATAATGCAATACAGTTTTTACGCGTGCGTATAATTTGCTAGTAAATAAATAAAAAAAATTGCAGAAACGAAAATTATTTATTACCATTTTTCAGATGATAGAAAATTTTGTTTTTAAAAAATTCTTGTTAAATTTATAGCAATTGGAATATCGATGGGTACAAACGGGTTCTCTTCAAACGGAATCAAATATCACTTCTCTATCATGGAATTTAGAGGGCACTCGTCTTTTAACTGGTGGAGAACTCTTACAACTTTGGCATCAAAATATTCTTCCTTTCCAAGAGGAACAACGTAAGTTTCAATTTCAAAAATAAAAAGATAAAAATTAATTCTCGAATTAAATTTAAAAAATTTTTTTTTTTTTGCCAAACAAAAAATAATTAACTTTTTTTGGGATTTATTAAATTTTTATAATATTAAATTAAATTATATAAATAACATTGAATGTACAATAGCGGCAAAGGCGAAACCGACACAAACAGAAGAAGTTACAACAACAGGAGTTGATCAAAATGTAACGGGGAATAATTCTTCGCAAGATCGTGAGTTCATTCGCTTAATGAATGAACGTATTGTCGCCTTTTTTTGCATGATTTTTTAAAAAAAAATGAACGATATAAAAAATACGATTTCACATTATTTTTTCTCATTTTAAGCACATATTATCATTGTCATCTATTTTTCAAGTTAAAATGAAATTATCATAAGTATCTCATTGCTAAAGAGGATTATTCGATTATTTTTGTTGTCAATTTTCTTGCAACTAGGCCACATTAAGAAAGTTCTCTCCTCCTACTATGTACTTGAAGCATGTTCTTTTGATAAGCAAGTTTTGAAGCATGAATGCTTAGAAAGTCATGCCCTGCAAATTTTATTTTTATTTTATCTTAATAATAATTGTAAATATTTATTAATTCTCTTTTTATCATAATTTATGAATACTGTTATTTTGAAAATAGTTGTAAAATAATTTATTGAAAATACTTTTGTTTCGATTCCTAATTAAATTTAATTAAATTTTAAATTAAGTTAAAAATAAATAGAATTAAAACTAATGAAGATCTTTCTAAATATTAAAGAAATAATTGAAAGTTATTATATTATTTATTTATTTAATTTAGTTTCTGTTTAATTTTTAAATTAATAGTAAATTTTTCTTGTCATTTAAAATTATTGCAGAATAAATATCTCGAATAGACAAAAAAATTTAACGATTTAAACGAATATTATCAACCCTTTGTTATATTGAACTTTCTGATTTAGATATTATTTATTTAAAAATTGAAATTTGTATATCATTTACTTATAAATATTATTTATTATAAATATTAGTTAAGATTCGTCACTTTTTTTGTCCCTAATTTCGACATTAATTGTGTATTTTTTTAATATGAATTTATTTCTAGGCTTTATTAAAAAAAAAAAAAAAAAATTGTCGCCTCAGTGTGATTTTTCAGAAAAATTTTGCAAAAAAAAAGAAAGAATTGTTTCTATAACGACAACATTTTGTGAATGTATAGCTAGCGCCGTGACATTTTCCATCGGCGGTGAAGCAGAGAGTCCAGGACCTGGTGATACGGGACCAACCAACGACGTTGGAACATGGAATTGTGTGTGGAAATGTCGTACGGCGACTCCGGTACATCTAATGACTTTTAGTCCCGATGGTACACTTTTTGCAACAACAGGAATGAACGACAGACTTGTGAAAATTTGGTTCGAGAATAAACAACGTGAGTTCATTTTTATATTTTTTTTCGTTTATTGAAAATTATCCCTTCATCTTTTTCTTCTTATTCAAGAAATTTTTTTATTAAAATGCAAAATAAAAATAATTATACAATTTTTTTTTTTTATAAAAAATGATTATTCTCGAATAGGATATTTTTCGAATTTTAGTTTGAAGAAGTAATAAACAAAAATTTTATTTTAAACACATAAATTAAAAAATTAAAAATTTAACAAAAGAGTGGCCACAAGTCAGGAAAGTCAGGGAAATTATTTACTTCCTGCATATATGTAAAAAGTTTTAAGAATTTTTGCCTCTAAAAGGGATCACAGGTTATCATCACCTGTTCACCTTTTTTAACCGTATTTAAAATTTTGTCACCTTTTTTTTTACCTATTTTGATAACTTGTTACCTTTTTCACTTTTCTCATACCACCAGTTTGATTTTTTAAACATAGAAAATAATTTTTTTTTTTACATTAATATACGTATTTATATACCTGCTAATAATGTATAATTGGATTTTTAATTGATTTTATTGTTTCCGTAAAAAAATCTTATAATTTGGTTTAATTTTCGTGCTCTACAACTTATATTAATTTAGAAAATATAAAATAGAGACTTTCATATTTTCTATAAATGATTCAATTGATCCAAGCTTGAATTTATCAAAAATTTCCATTGATTTAAAAATGATTTAGGTAAAACTTCAATAAATCTAAATTTAAATAAATTAAATCACTTATTGATTAAAATAGTAATCGATCTAAAATTTAAATTTCTTTTAATTCTAATCAACTATCAATTGAATCAATTCATAATTAAATTTATCCAATTGAATCTGTTCAAATTTTAATTAAATTAAATTTAATTCAATTCAAATTTTAATCGATACAAATTTCAATTCAATCTTAATTTTTAATATTTAAAAACAAACGACTTTTTTTGCGCCTTAAAGTCGATTCGAGGTCTGAAAAGAGAGAAATAGTAGGAAAACGCGTTTTTCGAACTTCAAATTATTAGATTTCTATTGAAATTCATTTTTAATGAAGAATTTTTGTCAAGGAAGGAAATGTCTGGAAATTAAAAAATTTATTCGTTTATCAACCATGAAGTTGTAGGGAAGTATGTAATGAAAGTTAAATGTTATTAAATTTCCCATTTAAATCAAACAATAATAATTAAAATTGAGCTTATTATTCAGAGAAAATAATATATATAATGAACATAAATAGGGTCAGTTGGGGTAAATGTGGACAAAATCCCTATTTTTGACAAATTACGTAAGTTTCTTCCTTTAAAAGGTAATATTTGCGGGTTTATTTTTTTTAAGTTGTTATTTACATTCCCAGGATTAATTTTATGCAGGAAAAAAAAATTTAAATAAGCTTTAAACGAATGAAACTGACTGTCCCCCTTTACCCCAAGATTTAGAAAATTTTATAAAATTTTGGGTAAATGGGGACAGCATAGTTCCTAAAAAAGTTTTTCGATTTTTAATTTTTGTTTTATAAATTTTTAATGTTAATGCAAACTGTAAAACTATTATTTTTTAAACATTTTGGTTTATTTTGCCTTCAAAATTTTTTTTGTGGTTAAGAGTGTCGAACGGTCTCTGAAATTCTTTGCCGAATCCATACAAAAACGCAATTGAAAAATGAAAAGTAGGAAAGTAATATAATAAATAGCTATACGACTTTGTGCTCCCTGCTTGCTTCTGCCATCTGACGTCGGCAGAACGTAACGAAACATAAACAAATATTTCAAGTAATATTAATATTTAATTTCAATATTCAGGTATAGAAGGACAATTAATACAATAGGGTTGTCATAAATGGTTTATTATAACCAGACTTTCAGTCCACTCTATTGTTGTTATGTCCCCTTTTCTCCTTATTTTTCTTTTAGAATATTTAATATATTAATTTAATATTTTATCACAAATTAACTTTTAAACCACAATTTTGAACCAAATTTAAAAATTCTTGTTTCCTCTAACTCAGAAATAAATTCTAAACTGATTAAAAATTCAATTAATTTCTGACAAAAATTATGGTACAGCGTACATATTTGTTTATAAAAATTGTTTCAAAAAAATATAAAAAATATCTAAATAAATATAAATTGATTTAAACTGTTCTTGAAATATTTTTTAAAAATGAAAAAAATATAATAACAGCTGTGACTTTGTGTTGATTGCATGCTTCTGCCATCTGACGGCGGCAAAACGTAATTTGGTTGATAATAACAAGCTGTCTCCATTTACCCCAAAAATTTGAAAACTCAGGGTAAATGTGGACAGCTTGTTATTATTAACCAAATTGATAAAAATCAAAGAATTTAAATGAATTTCTGTTATAGGAGTCATAAGGAATAAGAAAAAATTTTTGTATGATTTTTAAGTCTGTTTTCTTTGAAATGCTCGACAAAATACTGAAACAGTTTGACTTTGATTTTCAAGTTTTTATGCATTGAGCTATAACTTGAATTATCTTGTTGCCAATTGTCAAGATAAAAGCTTGTCAATACTCAGAACTTCTTGTAAGTGATCTGAGGTTAAAATATTGACGTTGAACTTAATTTTAAAACTTTAAATTAAGCTCCAACACTTCTTGTTCTAATTTACCCCCTGTCCCCATTTACCCCAACTGACCCTAAATATTGCATATTTATCATGTAAAACGTATTTTAATAACAGCATCAATTTCCAAGGATGTTGAAGTTCACAACGTTTGTTATCAAACAATTTTTAAAGAAATATTTTTTTAAATGAAAAATTCTATAAATTTTTGTCTCAGAAATATTTCTTTCAATGTTTATTGATCAAAAAATTATTAAAAAAAACACATTTTTTCTTGATAAAAATTTTTCGTCTTAAAAAATAATTTGTTTTCTAATCGTTGATCATAAAAAAACGATCATCTTTGTTAATAAATAAATATATATTTATTATTTTAAAAATCAAACATTGTTTTAAATTCATTATAAATATACAAAGTTTTTATATATGTTAATGCATAATTCTTAAATGAAGTAAACTAATTTAAATTTAAATTTTAAATGATCTAAATTTGATTATTTTTTTTATTTCAGTGTTCCCATCAAAGAGTATTGATCACTCGTCGTTTAATCTGACAGTCAATGATAGTTATAGTTTCGTTTACGTTGCTCATCCTCGTGCTGTCACTCACATTTCATGGCGAAAAACTAGTAAATACATGCCAAAGTAAGAAACTTGATTGAAAAGTCTTTAAGGTAGTTCGTCGACTACAGTCACTGAAAAAAGTTTAAATGTTTAAAATTGAAAATATATTTTCTAGAATGAAAATTTCAATTTTTATTAAATAAAAAATTAATATTATAATTATTAATCATCCACTTGTTTGAGAAACATTATTTTTTTAGATTTTTTCATTTGTTTCAAAATCAAATTGTAAAAGAAATTTAATAATTAGTTTATTATTATTTTTTATTTTAAATTTAGATGTAAATTAATTTTCTAAAAAAAATTACATTTATTTTGAAATGTTAGTAAAAATAAAATTGGTTCTTTTTTTTTGGTAAATTTTCGACATTAACTTTTTGCATTGACTATTGATGATGATGGAATTTTATTTCTTTTTTTGTGAAATGTAAAATAAAAAAAAAAATAATTCTGTTTAAATAGGGGATCAGTTTCAAATATGTTAGTTACTTCCTGTCGTGATAATATTTGCCGAGTTTGGACAGAGACGATACCACCGGAAATTGAAGGCTTAGCCAATATGAGTCAATTTGAAGGCAGTGATAGACATGGACATCATGGAAAAAATCGTCATCATAATATGCATAAACACAGGTTTATGCAACGCCTTAAACACATGAAGTAAGTTTATTTATTTTTTTTTTTTTGAGTCGTTATTTATACTAACTTCATGGGTTTAAAATTTTAAATCCAGAAGAAAAGATTTCAAGAATAAATTTTTTCTTTTTTTTATTATAAAATTTTTCATTTTTATTTTGTTTACCCAATTTTTAAAAAATCCATTTTTTGTTTTAAAATTAAATTATTGGGTAAAAAAAATGTAAAAATTGATTTTAAAGTTTGGTTTATTTGAAATTTGTAATAGTTTTTTTGAAGACAAAAAAATTTGACTTTAAAAATTCTCCAAAAACAAGCAGAAAAATAAAATTGTGCAATTATTTACAGAACGTGTTTTCATATTCGTCGTCATGCAAAACAACAACAACACCAGGCAGGACACACTGCCCCAACTCTTCCGACATTACCGTCAACGTATTCAGTTCATGATTTTCATAATAATTATCAAACATCAGCGCACTATCCTGGAATGCATTTTCATCTTGCCGCAAGCATTAATGCTGAAACAGGTGCAATAAATTTCATTTTATTCTCTTTATTTGATACGTGATAAATTAAAATTTTTCAATTTTACAATAATTTAACTAACTTAAACTAAACAATTGAAACGAAGAATTAACGAATGTTACAGATATTCCACTTGTACCAAGTTTAATTACCGGTGATCCTGATCGAGAACCGAATTTCATTTTACATTGGTTGAATAATAAGGAAATGCATTTTACAATGCAGGCGGAAAATATTTTACAGGTTGGTTCTTTTATATTTTTTCTTTGAAATTTAAATTTGAAAGTATACTTTTATTTTATATTTAAACAAATAATAAACAAATTTTTTTTTTTATTTTTTAGAACTGAAATATATTATGATGAAAATAAATTAAGTAAAAATATAAAAATTATTTTATAATAATTTCAGGAATTGACGCGGAAAGTCGTGGAAAAGGAGGAAGGTATGCAAAATCAGGAAGTAGAACAAACGGAACACGATTCAGAAGACGAGCATACACCAAGTACGTAAAATTTTGTTTGTTTGTTTTTTTTTAATGATTGTTTCTGATAATTTTTTCGAGTTTGTTCACTTTCTTAAATGCACTAACTCTACCATGAATTGAACTAACATTTTGCTTATATTTTGCATTTATTTAAAAAAAAATCAATGATTTGCGAAATAATAATTTATACTTTATTAATAATTTTTAATAATAATAAAATAATAATAGATAATAATAAAAACTTCATAATGACGTAGGTACCTAACTTAATAATAATTTTAAATTTATAAAGAAAATAAATTTGATATTATAACAAAATATTAAAGATTTTTTTTTATTATTAAAACATTTAAGTTAAAGTGCAAAATTTTTAAATTCACTCAAAATTTTGAAAAAAATACTTCAGTTATTAAATACATTTTTTTTTTTTTTGACAATTAAATATGTACTGTCAATTAAAAATCAAAAAAGTTAAAGAAGAATTGGACAGACAGTAAAAATAAAAAATAGTCCTATTTCATATTTTTGTATTTTTAATTTAAAAGTTTTTCAATAAAAATGTGAGCAATTTTACTTTTTAATACATTAAATCATTAAAAATTGTAATTGCAATTTTATTAAATATTTGAATTTTATCTATGATTTATTCTTTTATTAGAAAATTATGAAACTAATTAATTTATTTAATATTTGACAGTAAAAGTTAATCAATCCGAAACCTTTAATGGATAAAAAGTTTTAATTTAAATGTTTACACTTGCATTGAAATACTTTTAAAATTGTTAAAAGGTTCTTTATTTAAAATTACAGAAATATAAAGTTTGATTAATTTTTCTTCTGATTGTTTGTTCAATTCTTTTTTAAATATTCTAGACTTTGCCTTGCCAGTTTAAAATTTCTTAAAAATGAAATAATGAATAATTAAATAATTTAATTTTTGATATTTCTCTTATAAATCCGTAGCTTCTCTTAAAATGTTTTGCATTATTATAATTAACAATATTTTATCGCATCTATTTATTTAAATATAATTTTATTACATTTTTCGCTTTATTTCAATATTTTACACACTTACATTAAAAAGTATTTTCTCTCTTCGCTTCTATTAAACAAAAAATTGAATAATTTACTAATTAAATGTTGCACAATTCATCTTATATTTTTGCATAAAAAGAAAATTTCTGAACACAATAAGAAGAAATGAAAAATTAATTTATTTGTGTGATTCTCTCGAAATATTTCTTTTCATGAGTTTAAAATTATTTTTTATTTATTATATTTATCTATAAAAAATTGGAGATTTTTAAGGACTTACTAGAATAAAAAATTTCTTAGTAATTGTTCTTTTGATTTTTGGACCTATTTTTCACTGATAGTTTGTAAAAAATAGATTTTAATTACATAATTTATATTTCACATAATCGGAATTTCAATTTGTCTAAATTTTAATTGATTTAAGTTTCAAATTATCTGAATTTAAATTTTCTCAAATTTTAATTGATTTAAGTTTCTGATTATCCGAATTTTAATTTATCTTTATTTTAATTGATTTATGTTTCACATAATCCAAATTTTAATTGATTTAAATTTTTAATTATTCGCATATTAATTTGTCCAAATTTTTTATTGATTTAACTTTCAAATTATTCGAATTTCAATTTGTCCAATTTTTTATTGATTTGAGTTTCAAAATATCGGAATTTTAATTTTTTCCAATTTTAATTGAATGAAGCTTCAGATTATTCGAATTTTAATTTGTCCAAATTTTAATTGATTTAAGATGCAATTTATCCAAAATTTAATTTACCCAAAAACTAATAAAATATGATTAGATTTTTTTTTAAAAATAATTACTACAGTTAGAAAATCTTGAGGGTATTCAAAAGGAATATTTCGTGAAAATCACTTAATTATTTCTATAAAATTAAATTAAAATAAAAAATAAATAAATTAAATTTATGTAGAAAAAAAAGTTTCTCTCGAGAGATTGGTTCTAAATAAAGAATTTTGCAATTAAATTTATATTTATAGTAAACATATATAATTAGGTGATATTGGTGCATGTTTGCATGGTTGTTGGGTAGAAATATGGTTTATTAGGCAGCATCTTATCGTGTTATGGTATCGTGCGACCAACAGAGAAAGGCACTAAACATCAATCCAGTCAAAAAACAAATGTTGTTGGTGGACGAGCGATGAGTCAAGAGGATCACAGTAGCGATGAACATCATACGGCACATACAACATCGTCCCATCCTAGTCTTCCTCACAGTGCCCATTCTCACCAAAGCCTTAGGTAAAATATTTTCTCAAAAAAAAAATTTGTCTTGGTTTTCCCCCTTAAAAATAAAAAACTATTTTTTTTTCTTCTAAATATTGTCGTGAACTGACCAAAAATAATGGAATTTTTTTTCTTTCTCTCATTTTCGTTTTCCAAAACTGAAAATTTTTGTCATTTTTCTTTAAATTAAGGTCAAAAAAAATAATAATTTTATCTTAATTTTTACAGTAATACAACATCAATTAATTCAATAGCAACGGATGCAACATCGTCAATGAATCATGCACCCGATTCTTTGGATACAAAAATTGAAACACTACTTCGCGATTGGCATCACAATCCCGATCTTTTATTTTCAATTCATCCAATTGATGGTTCATTTTTAATTTGGCATATTGAATGGTTAGATGAATATCATCCAGGATCATTTCGTCAGGCACAAATATCATTTTCCACACGTATTCCAAATGCTTTTCCATTGGGCGATGCATCAACAATGAGTCACAATGTATCAATGTATTCGCACAATACAGGTGGTCCATTGTTAAGTATTCGTGAAGTTGCAAAATCATCGACAAGACATTCAGAAACAAATGAAGTGACAACACCATTGCCAAGTCTCATTGAACAAGACGAGGAACAATCGACACTAACATCAAAAGCTGGACAGGAATTAATGAAAAATGTACAAAATTTTTCAATAAATCAAGAAACAATACAAGAGAATGGCACTACGACAACAATGGAAAATGGAAAATCAACACAAGATAATGTCAACGATATATTAACACAACCAAGTCCAATTGTTTCAATGGTATCAAAACATGAGAATGGAACATTAAATCTTTGGCAATTGACATTTGCCGATAAGACAAAATTTTCACAAGTATTAAGTATTGGTCATGCTTGTCGTGCATCGGGTCATCGTTTTCGTGTCAATGATATTACTTGTCATCCGGTATTGCCACTATTAGTGACAACATCACATCATAATGTTGCATTACCTGATTTTCCAAATGTTGATCAACAGCACAATGAAGCTGAATCAATTGAGACAATTATCAATAAAGAAGATAAGGATATAATGTCACCTACTGGATTTTGCAGTGAATTAATACTTTGGCGTGTTGATGCTGTGGGTCCATTATCAAAAAGTGGCGGTGTTTCTGAATTGGCGCGCATTAATTCACCGGAAATATCGGCATTCAGTAATGTCGCCTGGATACCAACACTTCTTCCTAGTACAACATTGGGAAATTTGTCAAATTCACCGAGTGCATGTTTTGTCGCAAGTGACGGTGAATCATTACGTGTTTATCAAGCTGTCATTGATGCACGAACATTATTGGCTGAAGTTTCAATTAGTGAGAGACGAAGTCGAATGATGGATTCAATGGCAAGTTTATCGACTGATATTTCATCTGATGATGGTATTCGACATTCAATACATGATCGTATTAAAATTGTTTCACAACAATCGACAGCGCGACCTGGTTGTGTTATTCAATTGGATGCAATTTCTGATGCGACACATGATTGGCAGAATACCCAATTTCTTCATGTTTTTCAAGAGCAATTAATAACTGGCGAGAGAAATGATGAGAAATTACCTGGTCTTGATACGACAATTAATGATTTGGGTTTAATGGAATCGACACTCGATGCAATGGTGGATTTACAACAATCGGCAGTATTTGAGGAGCCGTTTTATATTGTTGTCTTGGAAAGGACACAAAGAGGAACGACTGTTCATATGTGGCGATTGGTAATTGCATCGCAGCCAGAATCAAATGGTTTGTATATCAATTTAATAATTGAGGAGTAAGTTTTTAAAAATTGATAAATCCATGTTTTCTTATTTTGAGAAATTTAAATTTAAACCTAATAACATGTCTCACATATCCACTTAAGAGTGTTGAACGGTCTCTGAAATTCTTTAGTTAAGAGAGACTTTTAATTATCGCCCTATAATAAACGGCACTGAACGTGAAAATGATAAACATTGATTTTGAAATACTTTTTTTCTCGAAACACGGAAACTTTTACAAAATCGGCAAAAATATCAAGGATTCTTAGCTTATAAATTTTCTAAATCCGAAAGATTTTGCGAATCCATACAAAAACGCGATTGAAAAACGAAAAAGTAGGAAAGTTATATAATAACGGCTGCGAGTTTGTACTCCCTGCATGCTTCTGCCATCTGACGGCGGGAGGACGTAATGATCCTGTCATTATATTACTTTCTTACTTTTTGTTTTGCAATCGCGTTTTTATATGAATTATTATTTAATTATTATTATTTATTATTATTATTATTATTATTATTATTATTATTATTATATATAATGATAATAAAATAATTATTAAAAAAATAATAATAAAAATAAAAAAAGCGATAATTAAAGTCTATCATAATTGGAGATTATTATGGTTTTAGTGATTTTTTCTAATAAAAAGAATTAAAACTATATATAAATTATCATGATTAAAACCAGATATTTTTAAATTGAAATTTCTTTGTTAATAAAATTTTTTTGTAATTCGTCAGTGACAGAGCGATTAGAAAAGGTCTTGTAATATGTTAAATCAGCGCGTTTATCTCCACTTTTATGAAAAATGGATTTATCGACTTTTGAAAACTTGTTTCACATATTATAAGAATTATAGAAATTTTTTGAAGATTTTGAGGATTACTGATGGTAATCTGTTTTGTTCGAAAAGTTTCCAAATAGTAATTGTCAAATATTTAGAATAAGACGCACATATTATTTTTTCGTTGATCCACTTGTGCTCTTTGATTTTTTTTTCACTTTAAAAACCTTAATATTAAAGAATTTTATTTACTTTTAATTTTTGAAATTATTTTTTCTTTAATAATCAAAAGCAAATTTACTTAAACAAAAAATTTTTTTTTTATTTGACCACAAACAGCCTTAAAGTGCAATTGTTATATAATTTGTTTATAACAATTTTTAAGTGTAAAAACTTTTTTTTACTACTTGTCTAATCTAAACACTAGGGGTAACTGCAAGTCTTTCATTTTTTTTTTATTTTCAGTCTATTTAAATAATTTTAAACTATAAATTTGAATACACCTATACAATTTTTGAATTAAATATTAAAGAATACATTATTGTTATTTTATTCTAAAATATGATTATTTAGATAAAAAAATAATAACAACATTAAAGTGACCGGTTTAGACAAATTTCCCATACTTCCAGTAATATTGCTAAATAATTTCAATATACAGGGTGATTTTTATATTCCGGACCCCCAAAATATCTTGAAAGGAAATAGTTTTTGAGAAAAATGTTGTATACAAAAGTTGTCAGGTTGAAAAAAATCTATTAAATTGAATAATTAAAAAACGGGCCCAGGGCCTTATGTGGGCCCTACAGACAAAAAAGTAAATTTTTTAAATGGAACCAAGTATTTTCAAACTCAGATTCTTGTAGCCAGTGATTTCCTCTTTTCAGACATGTGGTAACTTGTGGGCCCAAAGTTAAATTTGGGCCCAAAATTCGATTTTTTGTGGTTTTAAAGGTGATTTTAGTGTAACTTAGTTCCAAGGGGTTTTCGGGATCCCTGATTACGAATATGAAGTCAGTTTTTAATAATTTTCAATAACGGACCCAAAATGACTAATTAAAAATGAAAAAAATTAAGGAAAATTATGAAACTTCTTATTTTAGACTTACTTAGCCTGCTAATTGTTAATTCAATGTTACTTTTATTGCTGTTAATTTAGTATCATAAAACTAGGGGTAAAATAAACAATAGATTTTTTCAAATTTTAATATTTAGGGGCTTATAAGGCCCAAAATTAGATTTTCTTTGGTTTTAAAAGTGATTTTAGTGTGACTTAGTTTCGAAGGGGTTTTCGTGGTCCCTGATTACGAATCTGAAATCAGTTTTTAAAAATTTTCAATAGCGGACCCAAAATGACTAATTAAAAATGAAAAAAATTAAGGGAAATTATGAAACTCCATATTTTAGACTTATTTAGCCTTCTAATTATTAATTAAATGTTATTTTTATTGCTTTTAAATTAGTATCATAAACCATGGGGTAAAAAATTAGATTTTTATACAAATTTTAAATTTATGGGCTTATAAGGCCCAAAATTCGTTTTTTTGTGATTTTAAAGGTGATTTTAGTGTGAATTAGTTCTAAGGGGTTTTTGGGGTCCCTGATTACGAATCTGAAATCAGTTTTTAAAAATTTTTAATAACGGACCCAGAATGACTGATTAAATATGAAAAAAATGAAGGAAAATAATGAAATTTCTCATTTTAGACTTATTTAGCCTTCTAATTGTTAATTCAATTTTACTTTTATTGCTTTTAATTTAGTATCATAAACCTTGGGGTAAAAAATTAGATTTTTACCAATTTTAATATTTACGGTCTTATAAGGCCCAAAATTAGATTTTCTTTGGTTTTAAAAATAATTTTAGTGTGACTTAGTTTCGAAGGGTTTTCGGGGTCCCAAATTATGAATCTGACATCGATTTTTAAAAATTCAAAACAGCGGACCAAAAATGACATAGAAATTAATAAAATTAAGGAAAATTATAAATCTTTTTATTTTAGACTTATTTAGCCTTCTAATTGTTAATTCAATGTTACTTTTATAGTTTTTAATTTAGTATCATAAACTTTAAGGGAAAAAAAATTGATAGATTCTTACTAACATTAATGTTTAGGGGCTTATAAGGCTGAAAATTCTGTTTTTAGTTGTTTTAAAACTCATTTTTAATCAACAAAATTCGATTTTTTGTGGTTTTAAAGGGGATTTTAGTGTAAATTAGTTCTAAGGGGTTTTTGGGTTCCCTGATTACGTTTTAAATTCATTTTAGTGTAACTTAGTTCCGATGGGTTTTCGAGCTTCTTGATTACGAATCTAAAATCAGTTTTTAAAAATTCAAAATAGCAGACCCAAAATGACTGATTAAAAATAAAAAAAATTAAGGAAAATTATGAAATTTATTATTTTAGACCTATTTAGCATTTTACTTGTTAACTTAATGTTACTTTTACACAGCTCTAAATTTACTATCCTTTGGGGGCAAAAAGGAAGATTGGTTTATTTTTTAAATTTAAATTTTGGGGGCTTATGGGTTCCAAAATTGGATCTTCTGTGGTTTTAAGAGTCATTTTAGTTTAAGGAAACTTTCTGCTTTAGAATTGAAAAAAGACACGTTTTAAAACTTTTATTGTAAGGAAAGTATTAAATAAAATGCCAAAATTTTTTGGACATTGTTGCAAATTACATAGAGAAAATTAAAAAAAAAATTTTCAGTGTTTTTCATTTTTAATCAGTCTTTTTGGGTCCACTTTTTTGATTTTTTAGAAACTGATGTCCGATTTTTAATCAGGGACTAAAAAGACCCCTTGGAAATAAGTCACACAAAATAACTTTTAAAACTACTGAAAATCTAATTTTGGGCCTTATAAGCCCCTAAATATTAAAATTGGTAAAAATCTAATTTTTTACCCCAAGGTTTATGATACTAAATTAAAAGCAATAAAAATAAAATTGAATTAACAATTAGAAGGCTAAATAAGTCTAAAATAAGAAGTTTCATTATTTTCCTTCATTTTTTTCATATTTAATCAGTCATTCTGGGTCCGTTATTAAAAATTTTTAAAAACTGATTTCAGATTCGTAATCAGGGACCCCAAAAACCCCTTAGAACTAATTCACACTAAAATCACCTTTAAAATCACAAAAAAACGAATTTTGGGCCTTATAAGCCCATAAATTTAAAATTTGTAAAAATCTAATTTTTTACCCCAAGGTTTATGATACTAATTTAAAAGCAATAAAAGTAAAATTGAATTAACAATTAGAAGGCTAAATAAGTCTAAAATATGAAGTTTCATAATTTCCCTTAATTTTTTTCATTTTTAATTAGTCATTTTGGGTCCGCTATTGAAAATTTTTAAAAACAGATTTCAGATTCGTAATCAGGGACCACAAAAACCCCTTCGAAATTAAGTCACACTAAAATCACTTTTAAAACCAAAGAAAATCTAATTTTGGGCCTTATAAGTCCCTAAATATTAAAATTTGAAAAAATCTATTGTTTATTTTACCCCTAGTTTTATGATACTAAATTAACAGCAATAAAAGTAACATTGAATTAACAATTAGCAGGCTAAGTAAGTCTAAAATAAGAAGTTTCATAATTTTCCTTAATTTTTTTCATTTTTAATTAGTCATTTTGGGTCCGTTATTGAAAATTTTTAAAAACTGACTTCATATTCGTAATCAGGGATCCCGAAAACCCCTTGGAACTAAGTTACACTAAAATCACCTTTAAAACCACAAAAAATCGAATTTTGGGCCCAAATTTAACTTTGGGCCCACAAGTTACCACATTTCTGAAAAGAGGAAATCACTGGCTACAAGAATCTGAGTTTGAAAATACTTGGTTCCATTTAAAAAATTTACTTTTTTGTCTGTAGGGCCCACATAAGGCCCTGGGCCCGTTTTTTAATTATTCAATTTAATAGATTTTTTTCAACCTGACAACTTTTGTATACAACATTTTTCTCAAAAACTATTTCCTTTCAAGATATTTTGGGGGTCCGGAACATAAAAATCACCCTGTATATATTGAAAGTAAAAGTAGAAAAGTAATATAATAACAATTGCGACTTTGTGCTCCCTGCTTGCTTCTGCCATCTGACGGCGGCAGAACGTAATGAAACATAAACAAATATTTCAAGTAATATTATTATTTAATTTCAATATTCAGGTATTGAAGGACAACTAATACAATAGGGTGTCATAAATAGTTTATTATGACTAGACTTCCAGTCGACTTTATTGTTTTTATGTTCCTTTTTCTCATTATTTTTCTCTTGAAATATTTAATATTTAAATACAAATTAACTTTTCGACCACAAAAAAAATTTATATCCTTTTAAATTGTTCTAAAAAATATTAAATATGTTATATAATATTTATATAAATATTATATATAAAAAGTTGCATTTCAAATATTTTTTTAATTTTTTAAAACAATTTTTATAAACAAAAATACACATTAAGGTCAATTTAGATAAGAAGTTAATCGAATTTTTTAAAATTAATATTAAAAATCTAAGTCGCTATGATGAAAAAAAAATATATTAGCAGTTAATTTTATCATTTGTATAAATAAATCTTATAAACAATTACTCATTTTGGCTGTTTGTGTGCAAAAAAATTTGCGTTTTTTATAAAGTTTGGGATTTTTGCGCTTGCGTTTCCTTTTAATTAAACAATTGTTTTGCGATAAATTTTCTTATATCTTTAAACAGTTTATTTTAACAAATACACTGTCCAAATTTTTTTGTCCTTAAATTAATTGAATTTTTAATCTGCTCTGTTTTTACAAAAAATATTCATTTATTAAATTTAGTAGGTTTTATTTAAACAATATTTATATACTTTTTAGAAATAATTCATGTTTAATGTAATTTATTAATTTTTAATATTAAAATTGCTATATGTAATATAATAACAGCTGCGACTTTGCGCTCCCTGCATGCTTCTGCCATCTGACGGCGGCAGAACGTAATGAAACATAAACAAATATTTCAAGTAATATTATTATTTAATTTCAATATTCAGGTATTGAAGAACAACTAATACAATAGGGGGTCATAAATGGTTTATTATGACTACACTTCCAGTCGACTCTATTGTTGTTATCTCTCCTTATTTTTCTTTTGGAATATTTAATATTTTAATTTAAATATTTTAATACAAATTAATTTTTTGACCATAATAATGAACCAAATTTGAAAATTCTTGTTTTTCTCCTAATTCAGAACTAAATTCTGAACAGGTTAAAAATTCGATTAGTTTATGACCAAAAATTGCGGTACAATGTATTATTGTCTATATAAATTGTTTGTAAAATATGAAAAATTATATTTTAAAATAATTGAAATTTACGCACAAAAATCTAAACCAAATTTATTCACAAAAATAATTGAATGAAAAAAAATTTAAATACCTAAATGATTGAACATCTAATTAATTTACTTTTTTAGACCATTGATTTGTATTGTGAATAAATTAATAGTACAAATTGATTTAAAAATTTTCTTTTATACTATTGATAATTTTTTAGTTTATTTTAGAAAAATAGTTTTTTTATATTATTTGTTTAACTGCAACTTTGTGCTCCCTGCATGGTTCTGCCATCTGACGGCGGCAGGAAGTAACGAAACATAAATTCAAGTAATATTACTATATAATTTCAATATTCAGGTTTAAAAGGACAACTAATACAATAGGGGGTCATAAATGGTTTATTATGACTGGACTTCCAGTCGATTCTATTGTTATCTTTCCTTATTTTTCTATTGAAATATTTAATAATTTAATTTAATATTTTATCACAAATTAACTTTTAGACCACAATTATGAAGCAATTATAATATTCTTCGAAAATTCAAGTATCTTAAAGCATTTCCCAATTAAAAACTTTTGGAATTCAATTTTTGTATGTGATTTCTAATTAATTCTTCTCAACGAAATCACTTAAAACTCTTAGGGCCAGTTTCACCAACTCCGGTTAAAAGTTAATCATCGATTAAAGCCAATTTAACCGCTCATGATTGGTCGGTTAGGGATTTAATCGCTGATTTACTTTTAACCAGAATTGGTGAAATTGGCCCTTATTATAATTATTGTCTGAAATTTAACACAATCCTCGACACAATCTTTTGAAATTCAATTATCCTCAAAAATTTCAATTTAAAAGTTTCTAATATTTAATCATTTCTAAAATTTTTTGAAATTAATAACTTCAATTATAACTCTCTCGAAATTCAATTATTATTTTCAATAATTTTAATAATATTCTCCGAAAATTCAACTATCTGAAACCATTTTTAACTTAAAACGTTTTCAAATTATTGTATTTTTGTCTGCAATTTCTAATAAATTTTTTATTAACAGAAATCATCAAAAATTTGAAATTAAAATTATGACAAAAGTTTTAATTCAAATAAATTGCTTAAATCAGACTTGAAAAAATTATAAAAATGGAACTTTAAAAATTTTTTTTTTTTTAGAAATTTGTCCTATTTAAATAAAATTTTGAAAATATGTTTTACAATTAGTTCGATTCTGAAATGTTCAAAATAAATTTTCTTGATAATATTTTTATAGAATTATTCTCATTACAAAATTAATAAAATGAATCAAGATTCGCGGTAGAGAATCGACGTCAAGTAAAAAAAAAATTTTTCCGCGAATATATTTTCTCAAAATATTGTCATTTTTCAACCAAAATTGGATATCTCGAAAAGTTCTTTACCGATTTTGTTCAAACCTTTTTTGCCGGGTAAAAAATGTAAAAAAAATAATTTTTAGTGGTGAAAATGGGAGGAAGCCCAAAAAATTATAAAAATTAGGCTCAAGAAAGTGAAAAATTTATGATTGTTTGATTTTTAGCCACGCCTGGAGCCTATACAGTTTAACGGATTCGCATGAAACTTATAAATAATAATTATTAGTTTATAATCTCGATATACATTTCAGAAAATGTCAAAACACTCAAAAAATTTAAAAATTTTCAATTTTTTATGAAAAAAATTGTTTGCTTGATTTTTAGGTAGACGAGGAGCACATTATTTTTTACCGATTCGCATAAAACTTACTAAAAATATCAATTATGTTAAAAACTCGATAATAATCAAAGAAATCTGAATACAATCAAAAATTTTTGAAATTTTCAATTTTTTACGAAAAAGAATTGAATTTTTGGCTAATTAGACACACCTGGAGCCTATAATTCTTTACCGATTCGCATGAAACTTACCAATAATATCAATTAGGTTAAAATCTGAATACATAATTGTAGATATTTGAATACACTCAAAAAATTTTTTAATTTTCACTTTTTTATGATAAAAAATCGATTTTTTTGATAATTAGACACACCTGGAGCCTATAATTCATGACCGATTTAAATGAAACTTACCAATAATATCAGTTAGGTTAAAATCTCGATATATAATTGTAGATATTTGAATACACTCAAAAAATTTTGAAATTCTTAATTTTTTATTGTAATTTTTTTTGTAACTTTTGCTAGTAAATTTTTATTGTCTTTGATAACATTATGTTTATTTAAAAAGTTTTTTTTTTAATTTTTTCTTTTCTTTACTAACTTATTAAAATGTGATACGCGGGACCTGATCCCAACAAAAACATCTTCGATGCAAAAAGTTACGCCAAGCAAAAATTATCTTAACCATCGAAACAATTTGTGAAATGAATGTTAGCCAAGTAAATTTTAGGATTATGTTAAGTTTTAATTAATTATTTTTAATATAAATAATTAAATTTAAAAATGGGAAATTATACAAATTATAATTTTAAAATATGCGTGCTATGTAGAAAAAAAGAATTGTTTTGGTCTAAATATGAATTAGAGTTATTAATTATCAAAATAATTAATTGAAATCAATTTTTGATTAAGAAAAATTTCTATCGTACGCGCAGTTATAAAAACTTAATTATTTTGATAATTATTAACTCTAATTCATATTTAGACCAAAACAATTCTTTTTTTCTACATAGCACGCATATTTTAAAATTATAATTTCTATAATTTCCCATTTTTAAATTTAATTATTTATATTAAAAATAATTAATTAAAATTTAACATAATCCTAAAATTTACTTGGCTAACATTCATTTCACGAATTGTTTCGATGGTTAAAATAATTTTTGCTTGGGGTAACTTTTTGCATCGAAGATGTTTTTGTTCGAATTTAATATCTAATAACATTAGTTATTTAAAGTAAAATATTCATTAACCTTTTAAATTTTGTTAGAATAAAAAATCGACTTTCTCGACTTCTTTTGGAATATAAAAACGACTTTTTGTGCCTTAAAGTCTATCCGAGGCCTTTTTTCAAAAAAATTCCGTATACCCTGTTACAAAAAAGACGATTGTTTTGAATGAAAGCGAAAGTCAACTTTTCGAAAGATTTAAAAAAGAATTAAATATAGTCTTATCCCAAAATTTTTGCCTTCAATCTCCGGCAATTATTATTATTGTTAAAAAACCTTTGAATCTTAATAATCTTCAGACTTTTTTTTGTCTGTAAATTTACAGGTTTATCAGAATCAATGATGTACGTACCAGATTCCCAGTTGGTCCAGGACGAAGATGATGAAGGTACACCAGGACGATATAGTCACGCCGATGGACGTAGATCACGACGACCAAGTCAAAGTGGAAATCGAAGTCGTCGCGAGAGTCAAGCCGATTATGATTCAACATTTTTTCATCGACGACATCACAATAGTCATGTACTGATAACAACAACAAAAGTTTGTACACAAGATTTACCCTTACCAGATGGTGTTGAAGTTGTTCATGCAGCACCAGCCGCTGGACATTTGAGTAGTTCATCAATTTATCCCGCTTGTTTTGCGCCCTATATCGTTGTAACAGCGTGCAGTGATAGTACAGTGAGATTTTGGAAGTGTAAAGTGACAAAAGTAGGTGAGGAAAATCAATTAAATTATGAATGGTGTGAATGGGAAATGATACGCAAGGATAAAGAATCAACGATTGATATTACGGGACAACCATTAAATATCAGCGCTGCTTATAGTGGTAGAATTGCGTGTGCCTATAAATATGGAAAATCATTTACACGACCAACAAAAAGTGATCCAGATTCACGTTATGTGAATCTTTGTGTTGCAATTTATGAATGTGAAAGTACAGGTGGTAGTGAATGGATATTAGAGGATACAATTCATTTGAAGAATATTCATTTACCGAGAATTCAGGTTGATCAACATTTGGATTTGAGTTATTTATATGATAGTAGATTTTTACAAAAGAAACAAAGATTAACGCAAGTTTTACAAACATTGAGTCATGAGGATGTGAGATCGCCAAGAAATGGTGAGAATGGTGATAGTACAAAAGCTGGACTATTGGCTGTACCATCGTTTAGTACATTGCAATCGTTGAGAAAATCAATAATTGAAAATGGAAATACATGTCCATTGACACAAAAGCATTTAGTACAACTTGATTGGGTTTCAAAAGAGGATGGATCACATATATTGACTGTTGGTGTTGGTTCAAAAGTAATGTTATTCACGCCAGTTTGTTCAGATCTTGCTCAAGCTAATATGAAAGCAATGAAAGAATCACAGGGTACAAATCGACCGATATTACGTAAAACATCATCGCTTGCACAACCACAATTTGTTGATGAGATACGATGGATGAAATTAAGAAAAATTGAATTAACAACAGCCGATGGTTTACCACCATTACCAATGCAAATATCATGGGTTAGAGATGGTATTTTAGTTGTTGGAATGGATTCAGAGATGCATGTCTATTCACAATGGAAACCAAATCCAAAGAATGATTGTTTTCATTCGGGATTACAACATCAAGAATCGGATGAATTTCAAGCGAGTCGAAATTTACGCGATGAAGATTTACGAACATTGGCTAATGAAACATCACAGAGACGATTGGCAAATGTATCATCGATGACACATTTATCGCGTGTGAGTAGTATTAATTTAACAATGTTGGACGCTAAGAAAAAACGTGGCCTACAAACGGAAGGCGCTAATTATGATTATATGCCGGATTATGGATTATTTGAGGCATCACGTATTGCATGTCCTGTATTGCCGCAATATCATCCAAAGCAATTGATGGAATTATTGAATTCGGGTAAAATTCGATGGGTTAAAGCGATATTGGCACATTTGGTGAGATGTATAGCGAGTTCGTGTACAATACGTGCGGATGATGAGAATTTAATGAAACAACGTAGTGGTTGGTCGAGATCGAGGACAATGTCAGTGAGTTATGTTGGTACAACATCGCCATTGGAACCAAGGGGTTCAACAACACAAATACCCGAGGAATTGACATTGGATTATGCGGAGATAACGTCGATATCACCATTGCCATTGTGGACATTGTTGATAGCTGATAAGGAGACGAATACAATAATACAACAAAAGGAGGATAAACAGGATTATAATGAATTGTTTGATGGTAATGTTGATGAGGGTGATTCATTGGACGATATGCTCGATGATGATTATGATTCATCGCGACAAAAAGATAGGAGATCATCGGTACCGGAGCGTCAAGGAATTTCTCATTTTGGTCCAAGGCAGGGACGACTGTTGTCACGTCTATTGACACATACACATTTACCTGGTTTATCGAGTTTGGATCAAATGCATTTGCTTGCATTGGCCGATACTGTGTCAACGTGTAATGTTGATTTTGCCGAACGTTTTGCAATTGATGCGGCTAAAAATGCAATTGCAAAGGAAAATTTAACGGGTATACCTGATGGTGAAGCTGTATCGACAGATTCATTAGATGATTGTGGTCTTCGTTTTCTTTTGGCAATGAAGCACTATAATTATTTAATTCGTTGTTTGCCAATGTCACAGAGAGCACAATTTCAAAAACAAGGTGTTTCATCGAATAATCTTGTTTGGGCATTTCATTCAGAATCGGAGGAGGAATTATTGGGATTGATACCGTCTTATGCTAAGGGACAACCAAAATGGATGATATTAAAAGAATTGGGCGTTGGATGGTGGATTAGAAGTAATGCAGTGTTAAAAACATGTATTGAAAAAGTTGCTAAAGCTGCTTTTCAACAAAAACAAGATCCATTGGATGCTGCTATTTATTATTTGGCAATGAAAAAGAAAAATTTAGTTTGGGGTTTATTTAGAAATCAAAAAGATGATAGAATGACGGCATTTTTTGCGAATAATTTCACTGAGGATAGATGGCGAAAGGCGGCATTGAAGAATGCATTTGCATTACTTGGTAAACAGAGATTTGAACATGCGGCGGCTTTCTTTTTATTGGCCGGTGCATTGAAAGATGCAATTGATGTGTGTTTAAATAAATTAAATGATATTCAATTGGCAATGGTAATTGCAAGACTCTATGAGGATGATACAACATCGCCAAATTTAAAGAGATTATTATTTGAGGAAATTTTAGGCTGTGACAAAGAGGGTAATAATCAGGATATGAGTAAATTTCATCCAGATCCATTTTTACGTAGTATGGCATTGTGGATTCTTAAGGATTATTCGGGTTCGCTTAATACTTTATTGTTGACGAATGTTGGAACAATGCATCCGCAATATAATGACGAATCAGAGAAACCTGAGGGAACAACAGCGAATCCAAATGTTTTTAATTTCTATGTGTATTTAAGAACACATCCGCTATTGATTAGACAGTATATTGCATCGACTGCACAGGATAGAAAGAAGGGACATTCGGTGGTGATTTCGGGTTTTAGCTATGGTACAGAATCAAAAGGACAGCCTGATAAACAATTAACGTTGGAGGATAGTATTACACCATTGGAGAGACAACTTTATTTTACAACAGCACATGCACATTTTAAAGCTGGATGTCCTGCTCTTGCACTTGAAGTTTTATCGAAATTACCCAGTAAAGTTATGGATTCAAATTGTGAAGATTCGCCGAGTCTTCTTAATAGTCCGGTTAAATCGAGAGCTCAAGATTTGCAAATTGATACGGGAATTATTAGTTGGGGTGGTTCAAAAGCGCCGGAAATTAAGCAGGAGTCATCGACGGCCTTTGATTGGTCACAGCCGGAGGTTAAAAAGAGTGATGAATTGGTTTTGGATTGGGGAAATGATGATGATGATAATGAAGATGGTGAGAGTCCACCTTTGAGTATGAATTTTGATAAAAAGGAAAAGAAAATCGAAATTGAGAAAGATAAGGAAGAGGAAGTTAAGACAAATGGATCATTGGATATAATGGCACAGCAATTGAAATTTGTTGCGTGTCTTAAGATTCTTATGGAGGAATTATCAACTTTGGCAACGGGTTTTGAAGTTGATGGTGGACAATTGCGATATCAACTTTATGTATGGCTGGAAAGAGAAGTCGATGCTTTGAAGCAACTTTGTAATTATAGCGCCAACACTGATGGTGATACAATTAATTCCTCGGAATATGAAGGTGGAATGGTGGATGATGTTCCACCTTATAGACCTGGTGAACAGCCGACGTTACATGAAATTTTACTCTCTGAGAAACTTGATTTTGAAGCAAAAGTTCAACGGGCAGCGAAAAGAAAAAAATGGCTTAAAGCTAATGAAACATTACTCAGAACACTTTTGTCTTATTGTTCATTGCATGGAGCATCGGGTGGTGGATTAGCGTCAGTGAGAATGGAATTACTTTTGTTGCTTCAGGAACTTCAACAGGAAAAAACGCAACAACAATTGTTGAGTCCTCTTCCCTTTCCAACAACACTGCCATTACTCAGTGCAAGTGTAGCTTGCAATAAGACTGTCATTGCTGATCCAGTTCGTCATTTACAGGTAAATTATTATTTTTGATGCATGGTAAATTAAATTCATCTCAATCTTGAAATATTGAAAAAAGTGGTGAAAAATTCTCTTACTCCGAAATTTTGAATAATTGATTTGTTAATGTATTTTTGTGTATTAAATTGTGAATATATTTTTTTCAGTCTTTGACTCATGATATGCTGCAAACATTGGTGGAATTGAGAAATACTCCAATGCCTCATAAAAACACTCATTACTGTGAAGTTTTTATCATGAGAGATCTTGCCGTAGCTCTCAGTGCCTGCATCTATCAATCTCTCTGTGATTCCGATACATTTGTCATGAAACATCATCAGTTCGATAACAGGTATAATTTTAATTTGAAAAAAAAAATTCTTTTCCTTTAATTTAAAAATTTTGTTAATCACTGATTTTATAATTAAAAAATTAGCTTTCCGGCGTCCTCGGAAGTAGAACCATTCTCAGGTGGTCATTTGGTGGCGTCAAATAAATATCATCGTCGTTATTCCACGGAAGATGGAATTGTAATAACAACATCGCCGACAAAATGGCCCGGTGTAACAAGTTTACGAGCACTTTTGGCACGTGAAAAAGATGAAGATACACCAAAATTAAATATTCTTTTGTCCGAGGCATTTGTTGCGACTTACATGAGTCTTTTTGTTTATGCTCTGTCGAGCTGTGACAGTCATATTTTATATCGATTGGTGGGTCAAAAATTTGACAATAACACGTGGTCAACACTTTTTGGTGGTGGTGTTAAGAAACTTTTACGTGTCGCAAGCACTGGAGCACAATCATCTGGAACACCGGTGGTCGAACGAACTGAGAGTATCAGTGAAATTCAAACTGCAACTGGCATGTGGAATACAATGACATCATTGACGAAACAACGAATGAAATTAAATATGAAACTTCTTGGACAATTCACGGGACAACAGCCAAATATGAAGGAGGATAAGCCAACATATCGTGAACAATTTGTCTCGCCGCTAATGAGTATGATATCATATTTTCTTATAAAGGTGAGTTATTAAAATTATTCAACTTTAATAGCGTAGAAAATAGAAAGATTTTTTCAAAACTTAATTAGTTTTAAGTAATTTTTATTTTTTCAAAAAATTTAAATTTTATTTTTTATTTATTTTTATTTTCACAAAAATGTATTTCAAATTAAAAATATACTTGATTAAAATGTAAAATTTTAGATGTCAAAATAATTTAAAACAGCCACTTGAAATTCTTTTGTTTCCGAATGTCATGATGTTTATTGTGGATTCCAAAATCAGTTCATTACACTTATTTTCTTGACTAAATTACAAGCCTCGGATTGTATGAATTTTTCGATTTATTTTACAAAATGAAATTAAAAATTAATTAATTTATTAAATTACAAAAAAAAAAATACCTATGACTTTTTTACTACAATTTTTTGACTTATTTTACAAAATTAAATTAAAAATTTTTAAAACGTCTTCAGCAATTAAAAAATTTTCAATTCAAAATCTTCTTTAATTTTATTAATTCTAAAAATCTAGACTGTAGCTCTTCTGGAATTCAATTATTTTTAAATTTTCTATTCAAAAATTCTTCGCCAAGTTAATTATTTAATTAAATATTTTTTTAATACTCAATTATTGTCTGTAATTTGTAAAAAATATTCAGCAATTCCATTTTAAAAATTTTAAATTCTTCACCAATTTATTTATTTTTAATAATTTTAACCAAGTTCTTCTAAAATTCGATTATTTACAATATTTTTTAATATTCAATCATTATTTGTAATTTGTAACAAAAAATCTTTAGCAATTTAATTTTACAAAAATTTCCATTTAAAATCTCTTAAAATTCAATTATAATCTATAAATCTTAAATATGTAACTCTTTCAAAATTCAATTATTTTTAAAATTATCTAAAAAATTTTTGTCTTAAAACAAGAGTTCAAAAATGGTAATTTGCTGCTACATTAAATGAAAAATATTGTTTCAAATAATTATTTTTTTTTTTACATTTTGATTTTGTTTCTTTAAGTTCAGACAAAATTCAAAATTTTCATCCAATTTTTATAAACAATTAAATAGCTTTTTTTACTCATTGATACAACTTCTGTAATCGTAATTTTTGCAATGTTATTAAAAAATTATTTAATAAAAACAATTTGGATTTATTTATAATTTCTGAAAAAAGAAATAATTTTAACAACATTGAAAAATTTACAATTTGTTAAGAATGAAATTTTAATGAGTAAAATCAGCTATTGTTTATAAAAATTGGATGAAAATTTCAAATTTTGTCAAAACTAAAAGAAAAAAATCAAAATAAAAAAAAAAATTATTTGATGCAAGATATTTACTCAACATCATTTTTTCTGTAAGTGTAATTATTACAATTATTATAAGTTTTAACAAAAAAAAGTATAAAATAAATAAATGAAGAGTTTAATTATTAAGTGTCCTAATTGATACTAAGTAGAGCATTGTAGATAATATTTTCCATATGTATGCAAACGATTAGTAAAATTAACAAAAAAAAAACAAATTACGTTTCTTAAAAAATAGTTGTTTAATTTTTGAAAGATTCAAAAAAAAAATTTATTTTTTTCTTTGAATTTAATTTTAATTAAAAATATGCTCAAAGTATATTCTAATTTTTGAATGACATTGAAAACATTTTCAATTGTAATTGTTAAATGAAAAATTCATTGTCAAAGAGCTCAATCCCCAATTACTACCAAAATAAATATTTTTGAAAAATATTCAAGGGAGTAAAAATGTATACCTATAAAAAAACATAGATAACTTACAAATCGAAGACGAAAGTGTTTCACACTTTCAAGTGGTTGTTTTCACTTATTTTGACCCTTGAGAATTTTAAATTGAACATTGAAAATTAATAAATTTAAAAAAAAGAAGAAATTATTTTCTAAACGATTGAAATTTTGTTATTAAATAATTATTTGTAGCCGAGAATCGAGAACGAGTACGCTGATGAAATTGATTATGACTCATCGGATTCGGCGGTATCGGATCTCGATTCATCGGAGGATGAGGAAGACGTTTTTGATACGAATGCAAAACCAAAGAGTAAACCAAAGGATAATACCGAGCACTCGAATCCTAATTCGTACAGCTGGAGTATTCTAAGATTAGCCATTGTTCGAATTCTACAGCAGCAAATGCAAGACTTCTTGAATATCGCAGGAATTGAAATGCAAGGTATGTTTTTGAAAATTCATTTCAACAATTTTGTTAAATTTTCATTGTTTTCAATTTTTTCGAATTTAAACAAAAATGCGACTTATTTTGACTTTTCTTTAGTGTAAACTGGGACTTTTCAACTTTTTTTAAACTCGAATAGAATTTTTTTTTGTTTAAAATTGAAATGAAGTAGCAAAAATCTTTTTCCATAAAGGGTCAATCCATTATATTTCGACTGAAGTCGTCGCTGACTAATTTTTAAAAATTATAATACTTTGCAGGAATGATTTTGAAGTTATCAAGATCACGAAATGAAAAGAATTTTATTAAAATTTTAATTATTTATTGCAAAATATGAATTTAAAGTTTATGAGGTGCTGAAAACTGTCAATTTTTTAGCCATTAGAAAATATGCAAAAAAAACAGAATTTACCATAAAAATAAAAAAAAACTTGTTGTAATTTACTAAGAATGAATAAATTTCTCATTATCAATTGATATAATTATTTAAATATGTGAAATAATATATAAAATATGATTTTTCAAGTTCGCCTGTCAAATAACCTAAATTTGCAAATTTCATCTATTAAATGTGAGAAAGAGAAGTCATTAAATTGAAAAAAACCTTACCAAATATAAAGTACCTGTGACTAACTTTTAGTTTTTCTTAGCACTTTTTTCCTTTTTTCTTCATAAATGTGAAATAAAAAGCAATAAAAATTGGCACTTTGCTTATTTTCACTATTTTCAAATGTAAATAACTTTCTTGGAGAAAACTGAAAAATTACAAAACTTGGGCAATATCTAATTGATCACTAACTACACACACTGGAAAAAAATTCGCTTTGGTCCCGAAGATACTTTTTGAGATAATTATGTTTAAATTTTTCACAATTTTTATCAGGTTAATGCATGTGATTTTTATAAAATTGAAGTTAGTTCAAAATGTTTAACCAATAAAACCTAACTTCGTCCTTAAAAAACTACATGTATTAACCTGATAAAAATTGTGAAAAATTTAAACACAATTATCTCAAAAAGTATCTTCGGGACCAGAGCGAATTTTTTTCCAGTGTGTGTAGTTAGTGATCAATTAGATATTGCCCAAGTTTTGTAATTTTTCAGTTTTCTCCAAGAAAGTTATTTACATTTGAAAATAGTGAAAATAAGCAAAGTGCCAATTTTTTATTGCTTTTTATTTCACATTCATGAAGAAAAAAGGAAAAAAGTGCTAAGAAAAACTGAAAGTTAGTCACAGGTACTTTATATTTGGTAAGGTTTTTTTCAATTTAATGACTTCTCTTTCTCACATTTAATAGATGAAATTTGCAAATTTAGGTTATTTGATAGGCGAACTTGAAAATCATATTTTATATATTATTTCACATATTTAAATAATTATATCAATTGATAATGAGAAATTTATTCATTCTTAGTAAATTACAAAAAAAAAAATTTATTTTTATGGTAAATTATACGTATTTTTGCATATTTTCTAATGGCTAAAAAATTGACAGTTTTCAGCACCTCATATACTTTAAATTCATATTTTGCAATAAATAATTAAAATTTTAATAAAATTCTTTTCATTTCGTGATCTTGATAACTTCAAAATCATTCCTGCAAAGTATTATAATTTTTAAAAATTAGTCAGCGACGACTTCATTCGAAATATAATGGATTGACCCTAAAATATCTTATATTATTGAATAACACAGAACAATTATAATTAATTTTTTTAATATAACAAAGCAGATTTTTTTGCTCAAAAAGTGAAAATCTCAAATTATTAATATAAAGAATTAAAAATATAGTTTTGAAGAATTTTTGTAAATTTTGAATTAAACTTTTTTAAAAAAATCTCATTAGTTTAAATCTTGAAGATACAATTTAACCATAAATGAGATTTTTGAAAAACTGTTTTATTTAAAAAGGATATGCAAAATTTTTTAAAAATATAATTTATTAAATTCTATCTGGAAATTTTGTCTAAGAATTATTTTTATTTATTTAATTTTTTTTTCTTTGTTTACATTATTATTAAAGAATTAATTAAATTAATTAATTTATTTATTATAGTTGTAGTTTAATAAGAATTAAAAATATCGATTTTTTGTGACATTTGTTTATATAAAATAATGAAACTAAAGCAAACTTTTTTTTGCGCTTTCAAATTAATTCGAAGCCTATGAATTTTGCATTTTTAGAATTGCCAGTGTGTAGTCCATTGATTCATGGAACATTAGGGATCGTAGCTCAATGGCAAGAGTCATTACGTGAGGAACTCGATTCTAAAGGACCGCCATCAGCGAATTTTATTCCTGGTTGCGCTCCCGATCCTGCGCCTACGCCTGGAAAACCTGCAATTCATAAATATCGATCACTTTTAGAAAAAGGAAATACACCATTCAAGTAATTAAAAAGTTTTACATTAAAAAAATTAAAAAAAAGATGTTTCTTGCTGAACTACGTAAATTGAGATAATTTATAAAATTTAATATTCTATAATTTATTTTTACTAAAAGTAATTAATTAATAGAAAATAACAAAATTTTTGAATTATTATTATATTTGGTATATTATATTTGGTAATTTGTTTATATTTGGAAAATTTCTTTCTTTTCTAGTACTCGATTATCAGCTGCAGCTTCAGTGAATCGTTTATGGTGTTATTTGGTGAGACAAGAGGCTGTGCAGGATATATTTATTAGATCAGTATTTGGTAAAAGAAGATCACTATCAGCGTTATTAGATTCTAATCAAAGTGGAGTAGATAATCTTAATCGAGGATCAGGAACTGGAGAAGACAAAGGAAGCGACAGTGGTACGACCAGTTTGCCAGAGCCTGTTAGAATTATTCACAAGGAACAAGACAGCATTAGTGCCTTTTGTTTAAATCAGGTATGAAATATATATATATATATATATTTATAATTAAAAGAAAATATTATGAGTCTACAAAAATAATTCAGGGTTGCAATGTCACTTGGAAAACTGAAAATTCAGGAAAAATACGAGAATAAATAATATTAGAGTGAAAAAATTTCAAATTTTATTTACATTATGTAATTAAATATTATTGAAATAGGTAAACGCAGGACTGATGGCCTTGGCAACTCCACGAGAGGTGCAAGAAATGGACATATCGCTACTTCTTGAACTACCTTCGTGGTTGGAAGATGAATGCGAATTTGATTTAATTAATCTTAATAAGCAACCTGATCCAGAACCTCTTCAGCCCACTAGTTTTCTAGTCATACAGGTGAAAAATATTTTTTTCTATATATATATATTTCAGAAAAAATTGAACAAACAGAATCAAAATTATCTCTCTTTAAAAATGTTGCAAAATTAATACACAAAATGTTGACTTTTTAGGACTTAATACTTAATTTTTTAAATTTTTTTGGGGGAGAAATTTCAATTTTTGAGAACTTTATTATTGAAGTTTAAAAATTGAAATTACTTTTTCCATTAGAAATATTCAACTTTTTTCAAAAACAATTGAATTTTTTAAAATAAACTTTAATTTTTTTGTGACAAATATTTATCGATCAACAAATTTTAAAAAACAACTTTTTTAGAGAAAAAATTTTACATTTTTTGTTTATTAATATTCTTTTTTAAAATGTCATGTTTTATTTATTATTTATCTAGATGTTATTTTTACCTATTCTATTTATCATCAAAAGGAGGACCATAGTTTTTTAAAATTACTTACATTTTTTTTTTTTTAGGTAATAGAATTGTTTTACACAAGGAGAAAAATGGAAAAACGATTAAAGTAATTTTTACTACTTTAAAAGTAAAACCGGAACTGTCCGAAGTTTCTGCGCATTTCTATCAATTTTTACTCTAGAAATAGTAAAATTTACTATTCCCGAAATCATTTTTACTATTTTCAGAGTAAATTTTACTATTTCTGGAGTAAAAATTGACCCGTTTTACTTTTAAAGTAGTAAAAGTTACCTTGAAACATTATTATCAAATAAAATTTAATTATAGGATTATTTTATACGTCTCATATTTATAAATTAAGTTTTTGATTTTGAAAAAGAATTTTTATTTTTGTTAATTTTTATTCAAATTTTTATTTTTTAAACCAAATTTTTTGCAGTACAAATATGCACAAATCTGTTATAATAATAAATTTTAAATTTCATGTTCTTTTTTTTTAATAATATTATTAAATTTGTTAATTGATTTATTTTTTAATAATAATTTAAAATAATTTTAATTTTTTTTCTCTGTTTTTAAAGAAAAAATTGCATCTGTTTATCTTTTTTTTTTAATAAGTACATAGTACCAAGTAGGTACTATTATCAATATTTGCATTTTTATAGAAAATGTTCCTGAATTCTTTATTTAAAATTTAATTTAACAATTTTTTTTTTAATTTCTAGTGAATTGTTTGTTATATTTCCACTGTATTTTTTTTCAAATTTAAAGGAATTATTTTTGTATTTTTCATTACAATTTTTCAATATATATTTTTTTTGTAGACGGCAGCCGATAGACCTCTACTTGCACAAAGTCCGCAGCAAAATAGTCCACAACCACAGTCAGGCATAGCTAGTCAAAGCGGACGAGGCGCAAGTGTGGTAAGAAATTTCATTAATTTTATTTTAATTCACTCTTTTGTAGAAATATCGTAAATAATATCACTTTTATTGTGTATTTAAAGCCCTTCACTTGTAATAGATTACTTATATACAAAACTTACTTTCATTATAATCGTAACCGTGGCTTTTTATTCACACAAAAGTAACATTTTTACAAAGGCTACATTATAAACAAATTGATGATTTATTTTTTTTAAATATAAAATATAATTTATTTAATTTTCTTTATTAATTATTGACATTTAATACAATAATCTTTTCTTATATTGTAAAAAAAATCTCAAATGTTTAGTATTTACGAATATTATTGACATATAATTAAAGTGAATTACAGCGAAATTAAGAATTAAAGTTTTTGGTTATTAATGTACAGCTAAATATCTAAAAAAGAAATATAATTTATACTTTTTGCCCTGATCTTTCACAAAAAAAAAAACTCGTGAGGAATATTGAGTATGAACCAATTTGAAACACATGTAAAGTATTAACACACCTATTCGCACATATCTTTCTATATTATAGCTTCCGCTTATATTGACTTTGACTATTTTCATGTGAATTTTTTTTTCTCTTTCTAAAAAGTATCATTTCTCAACTTTTTTGAATATTTAAAATGAAAGTCTATTTATTCTTTGCTTTTGTTGAATTATATACAGTGAATACAATCAGATATAAATTATAAAAACGATAATTTTTTTTTATTATTATGGTAAAAAATTGTCAGTCATCACTTCTGTTATTCGAAAATTAGATTTTTTTCAATTTAATTTATCATTTCTACAATTTTTACACAATATAATTTGTGGGATAAATATATAACGTAGACAAATATATATTTTTTTAAATTAAGTTTTTAAAATTGTTTATTTAATTAAATTGTCAATTTAGTATGTGATTAACGCACCTGAACTCTTTAACTTCGAAAATTGATTAACTAATTTTTAAATGTCTGTTTTATATTAATTAATAAAAAAAATAAAAGTTAAGTAACAATTAATTGGTCGGACTTTCAAAACAAAAGTTAGTTCAACTTCATATTTTCTTATTTTAAAATAAAACTTAAAAAAAAAAACAGAATTTGGTTCAAATTAACTTTTAGACCACAATTATGAACTAAATTCAAAAATCCATACAAAAACGTGATTGAAAAATAAAAATTAGGAAAGTAATATAATAAATAGCTACGACTTTGTGCTCCCTGCATGCTTCTGCCATCTGACGGGGGCAGAACGTAACGAAACATAAACAAATATTTCAAGTAATATTAATATTTAATTTCAATATTCAGGTATAGAAGGACAATTAATACAATAGGGTGTCATAAATGGTTTATTATGACCAGACTTCCAGTCGACTTTATTGTTGTTATCTCTCCTTATTTTTATTTTAGAATATTTAATATTTTAATTTAAATATTTTAATACAAATTAATTTTTTGACCATAATAATGAACCAAATTTGAAAATTCTTGTTTTTCTCCTAACTCAGAACTAAATTCTGAACAGGTTAAAAATTCGATTAATTTATGACCAAAAATTGAGGTACAGTGTATTATTGTCTATATAAATTGTTTGCAAAATATGAAAAATTATATTTTAAAATAATTGAAATTTACGCACAAAAATCTAAACCAAATTTATTCACAAAAATAATTGAATTAAAAAAAATTAAAATACCTAAATAATTGAACATCTAATTAGTTTACTTTTTTAGACCATTGATTTGTATTGTGAATAAATTAATAGTACAAATTGATTTAAAAATTTTCTTTAAATATTTTTTAAAAATGTAAAAAAATAAAAATTTTTTTTTTAATATTATATTTTTAATTTGAAAAAAATAATAGATATTTTATTTAAAAATCTTTTATTCAATTGATAATTCTTTAGTTTATTTCAGAAAAATAGTTTTTTTATATTATTTGTTTAACTGCAACTTTGTGCTCCCTGCATGGTTCTGCCATCTGACGGCGGCAGGAAGTAACGAAACATAAACAAATACTTCAAGTAATATTTTTATTTAATTTCAATATTCAGGTATAGAAGGACAACTAATAAAATAGGGGGTCATAAACGGTTTATTATAACCAGACTTTCAGTCGACTCGATTGTTGTTATCTCTCCTTATTTTTCTTTTAGAATATTTAATATATTATAATTTAATATTTTACCAAATGTAAAAATTCTTGTTCCCTCTAACTCAGAAATAAATTCTGAACTGATTAAAAATTCAATTAATTTCTAAAAAAAATTGCGGTACAGTGTAAATATTTGTTTATAAAAATTGTTTCAAAAAAATATAAAATATCAAAATAAATATAAATTGATTTAAAAGTGGTCTTGAAATATTTTTTAAGAATATTTTGTTTTTAATTTGTAACAAGAATAATAGATATTTTATTTGAAATCTTTTATTCAAATTGATAATTCTTTAGTTTATTTTTGAAATAAAGTTTTTTTTTATATTATTTGTTTAAATTAAAATTGGAAGAATGTGAACAATTTTGTAAAATTATTTTTGCATATTAAAATAAAAAAATTATTATTAAATTAATTAATTGATCATTAATTATCATTAAAAATTATTATTATTAAATTATTATTATTAACATAATTATTATTATTATTAAAAATATTATGTTTTTAATTTATGAGCCAAAAGTTGTGAACGTTCAAATGAATGAAATATTTTTTTCACTCTATAAATTATTAAAAATTATGATGTCAATGTAAAGTAAAACAGTAAATTAAACAATAATTAAATTAATAACTTCTTTTTAGATATTTAAAACAATATTTTGTAATAAAATAAGAAATTTATGCTCATTGCATGCTTCTGCCATCTGACGGCGACAAAACGTAATGAACCTTTCATTATATTACTTTTCTACATTTCGTTTTGGAATTGCGTTTTTGTATGGATTCAGGTAATATTACTATTATAATTTCAATATTCAGGTATAGAAGGACAATTAATACAATAGGGTGTCATAAATGGTTTATTATGACTAGACTTCTAGTCGACACTATTGTTATTATCTCTCCTTCTCTTCTTATTTTTCTATTGGAATATTTAATATTTTAATTTAATATTTTAACACAAATTTAGACCACAAAAAAAAGATTTTACACTTTAAAATTGTTGTAAACAAATTATATAATAATATTGCAATTTAAGGCTGTTTGTGGGCAAGAAGAAAAATTTTTGTTTAGTAAATTTGCTTTCGATTATTGCGGTTAAACTTTTTTTTAATTATAATGTTGTTTCTCGATAAATTTTCTTATTTTTTTCAAACAATTTTTATAAACAAATACACTATACGGTCATTTTTGATAAGAAATTAATCGAATTTTTTACAATTTATCTTAAATCCAAGCCACTAAATTATTATTCTTATAAATAAAATTTTTTTACAATTAACTTTATCATTTTTATAAATAAATTTTATAAACAATTATTTTACTGCTATTTATGGGCAAAAAAGTTTTTATAAATTTTTTTTTACAATTTGCATTACATTAAAAATTTATAAAATAAAAATTAAAAAATCGTCTCTTACAGATCTCGACAGATCTATTCAAAATTTGGTTCTTAGTTAGAGGAAACAAAAATTTTTGAATTTGGTTCATAATTGTTGGTTAAAAGTTAATTTGAACCAAATTTTTTTTATTTTGTACCTCTGTGAAATGTAAAGAAGCCTTTTTCGATTTTTATCAATATAAATACGACTTTTGTATGTTTATAATGAGGCTTATTTTGGCTTTTATAGTGTCGAATGTGATTAATTTTTTATTTATTAGATATTTATATAATAATGTGCGGCTAACTTAGCACTTTAAAAAAAAATTTTAATTATAAATCAATGAGATATGTAAAAGAAAAGACGTAGTTTAAAATAATTTTTGAGTTAAATTTATTTAAAAAATTTGTATAAATTCAAATTTTTAAAACTTTTTCTTAAAAAATGTTTTTGAGATTCTTGATAACATACAATAATATTTCCATAAATCAGATTCGAAAAAATTTTAAAGAAAAAAGTTATTAAATCTAAAAATTAGTTCAATTCTGAAATATTCTAAATTCTCTATATAAATAATAGTATAAAAATAATAAGTACTATTTCTTACTATTATTATTATTTCTTACTATTATTAAATTGTAGGTTATTTTACGTATTTTATTGGCAAGAAATTGCAATTTTTTGAAAAATATAAATTTTATTAGTTGAAAATATTAAATAATTACATCGATGAAGTCATAAAAAATATTTTGTAACATATCAACAATTTTTAAAAGAAATATTTTATTATTTTCCGAATAAAATATATTTCTTTTAATCGTTGGTGATAAATTTTGTCAACTTCATCGATGTAAATTATTTACTCTTAGTAAACAAATTTATATATTTTTTTTATTTAAAAATTCGAAAATACAAATGAGTTAGACTAACTTTTGTTTCGATTGTTTGTCCGATTTCATCTTGAAACTTGATTTAAATATGAAAAATAATATTAGTTAATTAAAACATTTGGAATCTAAACGATGCATTAAGAAATTAATATATTGTGGTTTTGAATTTAAATTAATTAATTTCAAATCCTCAAGTTAATTTTAATAAATTTGAAATAGTGCGCAAAGGGGTAAAATGTTACTCTATAAAACTCTGTTGATCATGTTTGCATGAGAATGAGAGCCAAACAGTGTGCATTGCACTTCAAATTCCTGAATGATGTGATTCTCAAAATTGATTCATTATTTATTATTGAAAATTATAGTTTTATGTTCTTTTTTTTTTTTTTTATTAGAGTAAAAAGAAAAGAAAAATTTTAATTGATAGCAAATCAAAATTTGAAAATCACAGGGGAAAAAAATGAATTTTGGGTGGGTGGGAGGATTAGAGAGTAGCACAAGTGGTGACGGAGACAATGTTGCTTGTTCAATGCTTTCCTAACATCTAATTTGGTCTGCGTCACTGATCTGGTGGCTCACTCGCTCGCTCAGATGAAGGGGATGCCCGCTTTTCCTGGCTCCCACGATCTTCGTTTCTGTCAGTTTGTCGCTGATAGGAGTAAACACTTATTGAAGCCGGTGAGACTAACATCTAACAAGACCCTATGCCATTCCTAGTGCAATTTTCATTATTTCTCTCAATTATTTATTTATACTATAATATTTATATATATATTACACTTTCAATGACTTACAATATCCTTCATTATTTTCCCAATCAAATTGTTTCGAACAAAATTTTTTTCTAGAAATATTTTTCTAAATTCCAGGGTGCCTAGCGGTCAGGGAAAAGTCAGGGAATTTTTTATAAATAAATTAAAGTAACTATTAGTTTCAAATTTTTTTTTTTTTTTTACTTTTTTCCCAAAGCAAATGTAAATTAAAAATTTTGGCTTTCACACTCAATTATTAAGCATGTGATATATCTTATATTTATTAAGTAAATAATTATTTAATACTATTTATTGAATCTAATAAATGATTTTTTAAACTTGGTTAAAAATTAATTAATTTCTTTCAGTGAAATATTTGGTTTTTTAATAAAAATAAAAATTATATGATACAATTTTATTTTATCGGTTCAACTTCAAATAAAGTAAATTATTCATTAATACGAATATTATTTAATGCCAAAAAAACCACATTTAACTTATAAAAATTTTTACGGCGTCGAATATTAAATTATCGAATTTCTATTTAGCAAAATTGTATAAAGTGAATTTTTATATTATGCAAAATTTTCAATTTACATTTAACTAAAATTCGATTTAAAAGAATTTCTATTTAGCAGAACTCTTATAAAGAATTTTTTCTAATACTTTTTAAAAATTTTAAATTAATATAATTTCAATTTACCAATGTCTATAAAAATTGACAAAAAAAAGAACCAAGTAGAATTTTTCTCAAATGAGAATTCTGTTAAATATAAAAATTAGTTGGAATTAAAATTTTCTTTAATAAAAACTTTTCTAATTAAGAATTTTTTAAAATAGAAATTCTGTTAATTGTGGATTTATTCAATGACAATTCTGTTAAGTAAATATTTTGATAAATCGAAATTTACTAAAATAACAATTTTTTGTTAAAAAAAATTTTTCTTTATGCAATTTTTCTTGACAAAAATTCCGTTAAATTGAAATTGTATTAATTTGAAATTCCATGCATTAGAAAATCTGCTTTATATAATTTAACTAAATAAAAAATTGATAATTTAAGATTTAAGGCCGTAAAAATTCTTTTAAATTAAATGTTGAGAATATTTATACATCCTCAATTAGTTTATTTATTTCATTTAAATATTTTATTTTTTACAAAACATTATTTATTTGGTTCAAATACATATGAAATTAGTGGATAATAAACAGGTAAATGATTTAATTGTATCAAAATAAATTTTATTTGACCAAAATAAAAATTTTTTAGTGTAATTTAGGTCAGGGAAAACTCAGTGAAAAGTCAGGGAATTTTTTTCTAGCATTTGTTAGACACCCTGAATTCGAACAATTTTTTTTTTTATTGAAACAAAAAATGAGAGATGAATTTCTCATAAAAATCATTACGTTTAAATTTTCATTTTAAAGAATTTTATTAGATATAATTATTTTTTTAGACGAATATTCATTTTTCGAATTTTGACAGATGGTAATTCTGCTAAATTAATTAATTCGAAATTAGAATTAAAAAAAAAAAGTTTGGACAGAAAAAATCGGTAAAATAAAAATTCGTTCAAATAGAAAACCTAAAATTTTTGTTCGGAAGAAATTTTGTTAAATGCAATTCGAAAAATGAGAATTCAAAAAAAAAATTATATGTATAATAAAAATCTTTAAAATGATTTTGATGAAAAATTGATACGAATTTTTTTTTTAAATTAAAACATAATGAATATATTTGTAATTTCGTGATTTTTTCTTTTTTCCAGTACTGAAACGAAAAATAGACAATTTGAGATTATACATATATATATATCTATGGAAAATGTGTAATAAGGATATTGGAAGTCTTTCAAAATTAGTCCCACATTTAGGCATGATAGTGAATAAAAAGAAAATATGGACAAAATAAACACCCTTCTTTTTTTTCTCGCTCATTAACAATAAATTCCCTTTCGCTTGTTATTTTAGCAGTAATTAACATAAATATTTATATAAAAGTGACTTTGGATATTCGATTGATCGACATTCAAATGCGAATTTAGTCTGCATTTTTCTCTTTTAAATATAACAGTCGTTTCTTTTATAATTCCACATTTTTTTTCTCCACTCGATCCTATAGTATTGTACATTTTAATTAATCTTCAAATTATTGCAAAAATTTTTTCTTATTCTGCATGGTAGATATATATTTAATTTTCTTTATTTAGGAATATATTCTGCGCACGTTTTATACTATTTATAGTTTTGTAGAAAATTAGAAGTAGATTTAACCATTAAATTTCTATATAATTCTTCTTTCTCATTTAATTGAAAATAATATTGTGATAATTTTTTTAATTATTACAAAAACTCAGGAATTATTAACAAAGAACTATTTATAAATTATTTACATTACATTAAAAGTTATATAGTAATTATAATTAAAGTGATTCTGAAATTTAATGGTTTATAAAATATTATATCCGCTTGATAATTATTATTATTCTGAAACGTTTATGGTATTATATGAAATTAAAGCACATCAGCGATTTACAGAATGCCGATATATAATTTTATTAATTATTAATTGCAATAAAAATTAATTAATTATTATTAATTTTATTGACAGCAGTTTTGCAGAATTTAGTTGGCGTTTGCAGTGTTCGTTCTTCCCCTCCCTCCCTTTTTTTTTAATTTAAAATTTAAGTGTTAGTTTGACATTATTTTTTTTTTTTTTTACCAATTTACTATTATTCACGCATTTTCTTTATTTCTGCCGGTACAGATCTTGAAACATAAAATTGATGGTATTAGAAGAGTCTCTTCACATCCGCTGTTACCGCTGTGTAAGTATATTATTTTGTTCTAAAAAATTCATTCTTAATTTAATTGTTTTTTTATAAAGAGAAGCAAATTATTATTTTATTATTTTGAACACCATTATAATTGACAAAAAATAAATAATAATAATAATTATTATTATTATTCGTCACAGGATTTTCGTTCAATTTTATTTTGAATAAATAAAAAAAAATTTATTTGGACAAATAGGATTATATTTAAACAAATTTTTCAAAATTTTAATTTTAATTTAATATTTCAAATATTTAATTATAATAATATGTAATAATTATTATTTTTCTTTTGAGAAAAAGGATAACTTACGTTATTTATTATTAATTATAAAAATTATTTGTTTCTTATTATTTTTCTTTTGCCTGTAGACTTAACAGGATCTCAAGATGGATCAGTGTCATTGTGGGAATGGGGTCATCAAACTGCAGTCGCAACCCCAAGACCATCGGGCACTTTTGCAAAAGTCACTCGAGTGCGTTTCTCTCAACATGGAAACAAATTTGGAGTCGCCGATTCAGACGGACATCTCAGTTTGTTCCAAGTGGCTTGTAGAGACGGAACGGCAAGACCTTTCTTCGTGAGTTTCTATTTTTGTTTTTAAAAAAAAAGAATTTAATAAAATTGCTGCGCATGATTATTCCATAAAAATCATTAATTACCATTTTCATTTTACAGGCAGAATTTCTTTTTATACGAATTTTTACTTAACAAAATTTTTAGCTAGCAATTTTTATTTGTCAGAATTTTGGTATTTTATAGTCATTTAATTTACATGACTTTTTATTTAAGAGAATTTCAATTTAATCGATTTTTAATCTACCATAATTTTCATTCAATTTAATTTTATGTGTTTTGAATTTTTAAATGACAGAAATTCCAACTCACCGAATATTAATATGCTCAAATTTTTATTTACGTACTAATTTTTAATTGATAGAATTTTTAAGACACCGAATTTTCATTTGTCCGAACAAACAATCGATAGAAAGATTTTGGCGCAATTTTTAAAATTAACCAATCACAAAATTTTCTTGATAATTTCTAATTGGTCAATTTTAAAAAATGCGCCGAAATATGCCCTATAAAAGTGAAATGAAAATAAATTTGAAAAAAAAATTTTAATGAAAATCTATTATTTTTTGTTAATGAAAATTTTTTGTCTATTTTTAGAATTATCAGTGTCATAGTAAAGTCACAGCCGATTTTGTCTTCCTTGGAGCGTGTAGTCTTGTTGCCACTGCTGGTCATGGCTCTGAAGGACGAAACGTTGCTCTCTGGGATACTCTACTTCCACAAAATAAATCCCAAGTACAAGGTACGTTTATTTATTTATTTATTTATACATATTTCCCCGCGGTCACATTATTGGACCATAATTGAGTTACAAATAATTATGGTAGTGTTCCATATATCAAAATAAAAATAGAGAAAGGTTATTTATTTATTATTATTTATAATTAGCATTTATTTATTAATTTAAATAATTTAAATATTTATAATAGAAATAGAAAAATAACAGAAATATGTAATTAAGTATTTAGAAAATGAAAATATGAATATTTCTTTTCTGTTTGTAATTTATGTTTATTTTTTTTCATTTTGCCAGGATTTGTGTGTCACGATCAGGGAGCGAGTTCAGTGATATTAGCCCCACAGCATCAGCTGTTGATCAGCGGTGGGAAAAAGGGCGATATCAATATTTTTGACGTTAGACAAAGGCAACAACGTCACAGATTTCAAGCTCATGAGTCTGCGATTAAGTGCTTGGCACTTGATCCACACGAAGAGTTTTTTGTTAGCGGTGCCGGAGATGGTGATATAAAAGTAACATCTTTTTTTTTCTAATCAAAAATTTCAAATTAATTTTCGAATCTTTATTAATATTTTTTTTTATTTTAATTTCAGGTGTGGGGTCTAACCGTCCATTCTCTTCTTTACTCATTTCCTGGAGAACATCCTAGATCTAGCTTTTTCAAGAATATAGGCCAAGTGAGTGAATAAAATTTTTTTTAATATAAATAAAAATTTTTGTGACAAAATTTAAATTATATATATATACTAGCTGTCGCACCCGTCTTCGACGGTTATAATATTTAGATTTAATAAATTTTGAAATTTATAATTACATCCAACTATACGTGTTCTCCTGTATTAAAATATCTTTTTATAAATTTTTAATTATTATTTATTCAATTCAATTTAATTTTTTCACTGCTTTTAATAAAATTAAAATAATTTAAAATTGTATTTAATTTTATAGTATTGAAAATAAAAATTATTTTAATCAATACAATTTAAATTAAAATTTTAAAAAACTTTAAAAATTATTTGAAGAATAAATTTTTAATAGAAAAATTTCTTTTAAAAATTTATTCTTCAAATAATTTTTAAAGTTTTTAAAAATTTTAATTTAAATTGTATTGATTAAAATAATTTTTATTTTCAATACTATAAAATTAAATACAATTTTAAATTATTTTAATTTTATTAAAAGCAGTGAAAAAATTAAATTGAATTGAATAAATAATAATTAAAAATTTATAAAAAGATATTTTAATACAGGAGAACACGTATAGTTGGATGTAATTATGAAAATAATTTAATTTTATTATATCTATTATATTATATTTAAGTTTATTTAGTTTATTTAGTTTTATTATATTTAAAAATAATTTGTATCTATAATAATAATAATAATAATAATATTCAATAATAATAATAATAATTTAAATATAATAATTGTTAACTTCAAAGAGTAAAAAAGTAATTTTCGATTTTTTATTTTTACAATATCTGATTTCATATTCAGATTTGCAATTATTAATTTTAAAATTCTGATAAAATTCTTAAATTAAAATTCTTAAAATTTCTTGTTAAAAGCATACTTAATTGGTCACAAAATTTAAAAAAAAGAACGTTTAGTAAAGAATTATCAAAAAATAAAAAATGTTAAATTTTAAAAATTTTTTGAAAGTGTCATATTTTTGTTTAAATTAATATTTTTCATTGGTGTGCAGCTAAGATTGCGTTTAATACCCAACAGACTAAAAACATTATTGTTTTACTTATAAAAAGTTGAACATAACGAATTCTTATATTACAATGTTATTAAAAAAATTGGAAATTCAAAAATTTGATTTAGACTTTTAAATTCAGACTATTTATTAATTTAATAAAAAAATTGATTGTATTTATGTGAAAAAATTAGGTACAAATAGTTTCAAATCAATCTTACAAAAAATAAAAAATTTGCATTTTTTTGATTTTTTAAAATTTTTTGAAAAAATGTCATAACTTTCGTTCATGTTAATATTTTTTAATCAAATATGGCTAAGATTTTAAGTTACGTTAAGACTGAATACACTGCCAAGTTTCACCTCAATCGGTTGAGCCGTTTTAAAGTTTTGCCGGTACAAAATATTGACGACAGACAGACAGATAGACAGACAGACAGAATTTTTATTTATGGCATATTTGTTATCTTTACTACTTAAAATGATAAACTATGCAAGAAAAAATTAATTTGGAGCAATGTACAGACAAAAGTCTGATTTTATTAATATAGATATATATATATATATATATATTAATTAAATTGGAATTATATTTTAAACTAAAACTTTTCTATTAAATTACAGAAAAATTTTTAAGCACCTTTATAAAGTTAATTTTTAAATTACTTAAAAAAAATACGAAAAAATCGGATTAAATTATTTCATTTTGAAAAAAACAAAAACTTTTCTTTCAGGGCGTTACTCAATTACACGTGGATTCAGCAGGTCGTCTATTTTCCTGTGGGGCGGACGGTTCAATGAAAGTACGCCAATTACCAGAACGGGACTGTATAATTCAGAACTATTATTAGAAATTAAAGGATATTTAATAATGAGACACGGAAATAATGTAAGTAAGCCAGAGCAACTGCTACGATATCTTAAAAAAAAAACTAAAAAAAAAAAACGCAAAATGGCCTTTGATACGTGAGGTTATAATCGTAAAAGGGAACGAAGGAACAAAACCAAAAAAAAGTCGACACAATCTTGAAAGTATACTTGAAAATTAGAAAAAAAATATTTACAAAAAAAAAATATGACTCGTTAGGGCAAAACACGATTAACTAGTTCCCACGAAAAAAAAATTACGCCTTTGACGATGACAATGAAAAAAAAAAAAACCGAGAATTATTCATCTATTTTTCAAAAAAAAAAAAAAAAAGATAAAAAGCACTGCCAACGTCTTTAAAAACTATCGTGTAATACGGAAGAACAAAAAAAAAAAACTCAATTGGCTAATTTGCTTTCTTTTTGCAAAAAAAATCTCTACGTACACATTGAATAATTAATTACTGATCCTATATTTAAGTAATCACTAAGTAATTAATTATGACACTTATTAAATAGACGTTGATTTTTCAAAAACAATTTAATTTCAAATCGAAAAATCTCTTTTTCAAAAAAAAAAAAATCGATATTAATAAATTTGCGACAGTATTCGCAATTTTCAAAAACAGTGACAATTTTCATAAAAATCTTTTATATAAAAAAAACAAATTCTTTATTCTTAGACGTAAAAAATTGTCTTCTTCAAAATTTATCTTCAAATAAAAAACTGTCGTGTAAAAATTTTTAGAAAAAAAAAATACGTAATTTAAAAGAAAATTAAAATAAACTTTTTCCTCTAAAAGTGAAATTTTTGTGTGAATATTTTAATGAGAAAAAAAAATTGCTTTTTTCTTGTAAAAATTTACTTCTTTTTTTTTAACTTAATCCGTGTTACCGAAGCTTTTTCGAAAAGTAGCTTTCTTAACTGACAATATCTTTAATCGCTATCGTATCTACTAAATAATATCTCCTCTGAAGCCTATTTCATAATTGTATTATATCAAGAAAAAAAAATTATAATAATAATCTTAAACGTCAGTTTAATTATGTCCTAATAATAGTCTAATCTTGAAGAAAAAGAAGAAAAAAAAATAAAGGGAAAAAAAATTGACGTCGAATCTCTAACGATGCTACTCGTTTATTATAATATCAATTTCTCTCAAACATCTTTGGAGATATCTTTATACGTCTTATTACGAATTTATTAAATTTATTCCATTTTCAAGAATCGTCATTCATATAATGTTTGTTATATATATATATAAATATAAAAAAAAATTATTGTCACGTAGTCTATTTGTGTTTTGTAAATACTTAATTATAAAAAGAAAAAGAAAAAGACCGAACCGAAATAGCAAATTATATCAACTGAGATACCTCTCGTTGTTTTTAAGTCGAAGCGAATTAATTGTTATTAATTATAACCTGGTTGACATTTTCTGATTTTATATATATATACACATATATTTATTGTCAAATTTATTTTCTTATTAATCTGATATGGATAAGAATTTTTTAATGTTGTCCTTGTGAAATTTTTTTTTTTTTAATCATTATTGAATGAAGATAATTTTAAAAAAATGGATCTTTTGATCTCTAAATTATAGACGCATGAATATTTATAAAAATATTTTACTCTCGATTTTTATTAGATCAAATTTTAATAAGGTCGAAAATTTATTTTCTTACATTTTTCAAAAAGATGTAAAATTTTCATTTAACAGAATTTTTATTTACATTTTTATTAAATTTTTTTATTTTCTATAATGTAGCAAATAAAATAGAAATTCTTTCATTTAAACATTTTAAATTAAATTCAACTTCGGCCTAAATTGAAATTTTCTTAAATGAAAAAATTACGTAACAATTTTTAAGGTTTGAGAATTTATTATAAAAAGGGAATAAATATAAATTTAATTTTAGTTTTATAAAATTTAATCCACTGGAAATTTGAAATAATTATTTGAAAATATTCATGCAAATCCCATAAATTAATTTTTTTCAGTAGCTTTTAAAATTTTTAAATTTAAATACAACTATTTTCCCGATTTTGTACTTGCAATAATAGTTTTTCGATTTAAAAAAAAAAAAAAAATGAAATTACAAACCGGACGGTAAATATTTTCCAATAAGAATGTAAAATTCAAAGCAAAAAAAAAATTGAAATAATTTCCAAAAAATCTCAATTTCTAATCAAAATTTCAAGTACGAAAAGAAGGAAAATTTCAATTCAAAAATTATAATTTTTAACTTATCAATTTAATTGAATAATATATTGTTATTGTTTTTATTGCACGAATATCTGGAAAAACAATTAATTTCGAAAATTCGAAATAAATATTAAATTAATATAAAAAATTGTTATCACTCTATTGTTAAAAAAAAAATATATATATATATATACAAAAAAAATTATTACAAAATGCTACTAAAATGTATACATGTGATGCCGAGTTGATAAAGAAAAAAAAAAACCAAATTATTTCGATGAAACTTTTACAGCCATAACTTTGTCAAAAAAAATTCAAGATATATTCGAAATTAGTTGACAAAAAAAAAAAAAATTGTCAAAAATTTTTTCATGAATCACTTGAAATTTGTTGAACGAAAAACAAAAAAAAAGTCGAAACGAAATAATAAAACCACAGTCTCATCAGTACTTGATCGTGATTCACTGCTTTAATATTTAGACAATATAAAATTATTATTATTATAAAACATGAAGATAGTTGCAAATTAAACAGACAAATAAAAAAAAAACAATTGTCTAACATCGAATTTAAAATAACGAATTTGTAATTAATTAATTAGTTACTTAAATAATTAACTAATTAATGACAAAATTAATACAGCATTAATTAATAAAATCATTTTACAGGAAATTAGTTAATTAATCAAAATTATCTATTATTTAAAAATATTGATTGTAAATTAATTAGATAAATGTTAATTAATGCAACCATTATTAAAAAAAAGACATTTAAAAATTGAAACTAGAAAAATTAATTGACTCATAAAAACAAATTGACGAAACGAAAAAAAATTGATTAAAATTAATCAAAAAAATTTAATTCCATTATTATAATATTAATTATTAAAAATTTGATATAAATTATAAAATATATTTCAATGTACATTAAAAATAATAATAATAATAATAATAATAGAGAATTGGAATGATTTATTGTCCTTTTCTCATATTCTTCGATACGTGTGCCTCTTGTCTCACCATGTGTGCAATTTATTGTTACCAGGCCGTAAACCACGATAGATATTTTTTAAAACAAAAAATAAATAAAATTGCACTTGATCATTAATCACAAATCTAAAATTAATCGATGAAAAAAAGAACATTTTGATTTACAAAAAAAAAATTCTAATCAACCAATTTTACTAGATTGATATAAAAAAGAACTAAAATTACAAGTTTAGAAATTAATCATCAAATTGTTCCTTTTGAAACGATTTATTGGATTTTTGATTTCGATAAATGACAATTTTTCCATTTTTAAAACGAATTTATATTCGTTATACACTAATGATGATTTAAATTCCTATGATTATTAGGAAGAAAATATTTTTGAGAGTTCAAAATGTTTTTAATTCTTGTTAAACGCATAATATTTTATATATTTAAAAAGAAAAAGAAAGAATTTCCATATAATATAGAAAATGAGATTTTTTTTCAGTAAGAAATTGAGACAATTTTAGTAATTGTAAAGAAAGTTTCTTGATGAAAAAAATGTAGAAGAATAAAAACAAAAAAAAAGTAATTGAGACTTGCAAGACTTAAACTCTTATAAAGAAATATAAAAATACGTGCATCACTGCTTTTGATCAATGGCTGATGAGAATAGTCTATCATTGCGCAATTTGTTAGTGTTAATCGTATATAATTATTATAATATATGTATATGTCAATAATGTAGTAATTATTGAATAATATATAGCAATTATATTTGTGCATGTATATATATAAATATTCTGTAGAAATAGTACCAGATAGTAATATATATAAATATATTATATATTATAATGTTATTAAATATACAATTTGATTATAAGTTAAATTAATTTTCCTGGAATATTCATAGTGTTTATAAACACTAAAAAAATTCCAGAACCAGTATTGTATACACTGTGAGAATAAAAATAAAATTCACACTAATAACTATTATAAAAGATGTAAAAGTTGCTTTGGATTGCTTATCAATACACCAGAGTGATGACTTATATATATATATATATAAAAAACATCAAACTCACATCGTGTTTGACTATACGTAATAATTGTATGTAAATTGTAACTATTAAAGAGTCAGCTTGAAAGAGAATTCTCTTTTTTTTTGTGTTAAAAATTTTTTTTCTTTACACTTTTTTTGGTTAAAAAATTTTATCATACAAATTTTTTTTTCTTTACATAAAAAAATTCTTCAAATTAAATTAAACATTATTGGGGTAATAACGAATTGAATGTTTTTACAATTTTGTGAGTTAGGAGTGTCGAACGATCTCTGAAATTCTTTGGCATTTAATTATTGCCCTATAAAAACGGCATTTAACGTGAAAATGATAAACATTGATTTTAAAATACTTTTTTCTTGAAACGCGGACACTTTTATTTAAAATCGGCTAAAATATCAAGGATTCTTAGCTTATAAATTTCCTAAATCCAAAAGATTGTGTGAATTTATACAAAAACGAGATTGCAAAACGAAAAGAAGGAAAGTAATATAATAACAGTTGCGACTTTGTACTCCCTGCATGCTACTGCCATCTGACGGCGGCAGGACGTAATGAATCTGTCATTATATTACTTTTCTACTTTTCGTTTTGCAATCGCGTTTTTGTATGAATTCGCACAATTTTTTGGATTTAAGAAATTTATGAGATAATGATCCTTAGTATTTTTGCCGATTTTGAAAAAAGTGTCCGCGTTTCGAGAAAAAAGTATTTTAAAATCAATATTTATCATTTTCACATTCAGTGCCGTTTTTATATGGCGATAATTAAATCCCAAAGAATTTCAGAGACCGTTCGACAATCTTAAAAAAAAATTTTTGTCAATTAGAATATAGCAATATATATACAGGATGGCCACATGTCAGTAAAGTCAGGGAAAAAAATTTTTTGTCAAGGAGATTATAGAAATTGAGATGGCTATGACATTCGTTAGTTTTAAAATAGTTTGAAACCATATCCTATCAAAAATAATCCTCCTTATTATATTAAGTTCAAGAACGACCGACACCAAAACAAATTTTTTTTTGTTCTCTTTAATAATTTATTTACATTTTTCATTCCAATTTATAATTCACATGCCTAACGTACATATATGTATTGGAAATTTTTTTTAAAAGTTATTTACATGAATTTTGCCAAAAAAAATTTTCTACTGTAAAACTTATATTTAATATTTAACATCAACCGAGCGAGCGTCAGCGAGTGAGGAATATATCGCTAGTTTTTAGAATTGAGGAGTAAGTTTTCAAAAATTGATAAATCCATGTTTTCTTATTTTGAGAAATTTAAATTTAAACAAATGACATTTCTCACATATCCACTTCAGAGTGTTGAACGGTCTCTGAAATTCTTTGGTTAAGAGAGACTTTTAATTATCGCCCTATAATAAACGGCACTGAACGTGAAAATGATAAACATTGATTTTGAAATACTTTTTTTCTCGAAACACGGAAACTTTTTACAAAATCGGTCAAAATACCAAGGATTCTTAGCTTATAAATTTTCTAAATCCGAAAGATTTTGCGAATCCATACAAAAACGCGATTGAAAAACGAAAAAGTAGGAAAGTTATATAATAACAGCTGCGAGATTGTACTCCCTGCATGCTTCTGCCATCTGAGGGCGGGAGGACGTAATGATCCTGTCATTATATTACTTTCTTACTTTTTGTTTTGCAATTGCGTTTTTGTATGAATTATTATTTAATTATTTATTATTATTATTATTAATTATTATATTATATATAATAATAATAAAATAATTATTAAAAAAAAATAATATAAAAATAAAAAAAGCGATAATTAAAGTCTATCATAATTGGAGATTATTATGGTTTTAGTGATTTTTTCTAATAAAAAGAATTAAAACTATAAATATCATGATTTTTAAATTGAAATTTCTTTGTTAATAAAATTTTTTTGTAATTCGACAGTGAGAGAGCGATTAGAAAAGGTCTTTAATATGTTAAATCAGCGGCTTTATTTCCACTTTTATGAAAAATTTTATTAAAAAAAAAATTTTATAATAATTTTTGGCAGTAGTTTCGACATCCTGGGTTTAAGATGTTTGTCTTTAAATGGAAAAAACTTATTTCTTAATAGTACAACAAACATGACTAGTGAGTAAAAAATTCTATATTTTATAGAAAATTTTAAGGTTATATAATTGTTGTGATTTCACATGTAAATATTCTCCGCTAATTTTCTCTCAAAATACTCGATTGATTGAACTAAAATTTTGTGGAGAACTTAAAAAAATTGGTCAAGTACAAGTTACACTCGCTTACCTAGGGTTCCGTTCACGATTATTTGAAAAATATTTAAATATAATATTTCAAAAGGGTTAGATATATTTTTCGTGAAATCTACACATAAAATTAAATATGTGTATCAAGTTTTAGCTTCTTAGCTCTGAAACTGTAAAAGTTAAAGCGGGGAAGGATACGTTTTTTCCGAAATTTCGAGTTTTTGGAATATAACAATATTTAATTCAATTCCAATTGGGTTTTCTATAATTTTCCTTGAATCTACTTGTAAAATTATGTACGTATATTAAATTTGAATATCCTAACTCTAAAACTGTAAAAGTTAAGGGGAGACACGCTCTTTTCCGAAATTTCGAGTTTTTGTACTATAACTATATTAAATTAAATTCCAATTGGGTTCGCTATAATTTTTCTTTAATCTACTCTTAAAAATACGTATGTATACTAAGTTTGAGCCCAATGGGTTAAGATGGCTAGATTTTAGAGGGGGGGGGACAGGATTTTGTGGACCGACACGAGTGAAACCATAAGGGTTCCGTGTCGGTTCACTGCGTGAATGGAACCCTAAAAAATATAATGATTTGATTGTTATGTGCCAGAGTATATATTAATATTTTATGAAAAAGTTTATTCTTAAAACAATGAATATTAGGAGAAGTGCGACTAAAATCTTATTGCCGCCATATTGAATTTTCCTCAAATATGGAATAATAATATGTATAAAAATATAAACTTTTTGACAAAATATTAATACTTTGGTATATAAATAAAGCAACTCCTTGTACTATTTTTAAGTACTCTACAAAATTTATTTCTATAAAGTTAGCGTTGACGCTCAGCGCTGAAAATTATTTTTCACAGGACCAAAAATGTCAAATTATTTTTTCTTATGATTTTCGGTCCAAATAATGCCTTGAGAAATACTTTTTAATGTATTATGTGGACCCAAAACTTTTTTAAAAAAAGATTTAATATTTTTGGTTCCGTGAAAAATAAATTTCGACGCTAAGCGTCGACACCAACTTCATGGAGGTCAAAATTTTACCTCAATCAGTAATAATTTTTGAGAAAACATACGAAAAATATTTACACGTGAAATCACAATCACAAATAGTCAAAAAATTTATTTTTTAAAAATTGCATAGGTAGTTGAAAAAAATGACTAAAAACGTATTGCCGTTTTGCCGATGCACGGACCTGAAAGACCTGGGTGGGAGAAAGAGTCGAGTGATTTGACGGTCACAATTGGGAAGGG